TTGCAATCTTGAGAAACGTGATTTTTTAATTGTTTGACAATTCTCTCAAGATATTTGGCACAAAGTGATGAGCCATGACCCATCTTTGCTTAAAAAGACTGAGAAGCACTTTTACACCCAACCACGATACCCTCAACTATTACCAATTCACCTGCTTATTGTGGACTGTTTCAAAATAGTTGGATAATCTAATTTGGATAATCTTTTCACTTTTATTTGGTCTCTGTCCCAACTTTTTTGGGGTGTGTTGCAGCCATCAAAATCAAAATTTGTTCATATTTACAAAATATGTTGGTCAGTGAAAACATTGGAAAACGTTTCTTTGTAGTTTTGTCAGCTAATAAAAGGTTAAATAGAATGAACAAATCACAGATTCTTGATTTTATTGCATTTTACAAAATGTCCCAACTTTTTCTGATCTGGGGTTGTATTTTATTTCAGTTTTATTAATTTTAGGACTTCAACTTCAACTTATTTATTTCAGTTAGTTTTTTTTTTTTTTTTTTTTTTTTAGCTTTTCATTATATTTCATTTCAGGTTTATTTATTTTAATAGCCAAGTTTCAGTTTTAGTTAACAATAACAACACTTAGACACTTAGAATGAAATTACACTTTTTGCTTGATTTTTACATCAAATAAGTTATTCCATCAAACATGTTCTTGAAAATGCTACAAAAGTTCATCAACCCTCTAGGCGACAGAAAAATGTCTAAAGAACAAACACATTCTCTTGACTCTTTGGTTTGAGCTTTTTTTAACATGCAGGTTAGTTGTTTTTACAAAATTTTCAGCTAATTATCCCACATTAGTAACAGGTTTTTGTTATCACAGCCTTGCTACCAATGCTGTTTTAACCTCCTCACCTTTTCACACATTTAACCAACAACAAAGACGTTTTAAAAAAGTTTGCAACATAACACAATTAGTTAGGGTTACTGAGTTGGTGACTATCATTTACAATGAGTCAAGACCTCTCTCTCACACACACACACACACACACACACACACACACACACACACACACACACACACACACACACACACACACACACACACACACACACACACACACACACACACACACACATACACAGTCATAAGAGGGTAGGGCATGTTTCTGTGGGACCGACAGGGCTGTTCTTAAGTGCTACAGCTGTGTAAGCAGACATATATTGTTTTTAACCCCAGCAGAACTCGACTCCAATTACCATGCTAGGCACCAAGCCCAAAACACACTCACACACCCTATCAGGGTCAGTTTTAAAACAAATGTCGTGGTTTTCTGAGGAAATGACGGCTGTGCTATCTGTCCAAAAACTTGTTGAGGGACATCTGTCTGTGGTTGTAATCGCAGCCTCAGTTGCACTGTTAGCACAGCTGAGGTTTGACACACTGACTCATCTGAGTCTAAAACAGGGACAAACAGAGCAAAATAAATACATTAGGGAGCTTTGGCAGAGAGTTCAGCTACTTTACAACTCAGTATGGTGTTTTGCAGGTGCACTGTGCATTAAAACTATCACAGCAAGCTGCATTGTGGTCAGTTCTCACAGTTTTAGCCTAAAAGGCCTGGACTGGATTTAGAGTAAGGTCAGGGGTCTAAAATGCCAATTAAATGATATTGCTATGCCATCTCAAGGATTAAAGACTGGAATGTTCTGGCAGTGCCAGGAGTAATTTAGGCAAAGGCATATGTGCCAAAATATGTTGCCTGTATGCCGCTTTGGGAGGGGAGATTGTGTGAGAAAGCATATTTGTTAAGTGTTGTTTGAGTTATCCTGAATGATCTGTCTGTGAAACTTGACTGTGGAAACCTCCCTTCTCCCATATGGGCTTTTCTGTCCAGTTGCACCACTTACATAGTCTGATCTGGAACGCCGTGAACACGGACAAGTCGAGTGATGCAAATCCCAGTGCTGTTGAACTAAACATCAGCATTCCTGGAAAGCCGCTTGGCCAATCAAATTCAAGGACTGGAGTCTGGAACTGACTAGTGTATCTTTGTCACCAGAACGATTATTTAACCATAGGCCCGGTTTCACAGACAGAGCTTAGATTAAGCCAGGATTAGGCCTTTGTTCAATTAGGGCATTTAAGAAAGCTTTTATAAACGTGCCTTTATAAAAACATTATTGGTGTGCATCTTGAGAAAAATCAAAGGCAACTGACATTTAAGATTTAAGATCAGTGAAAGTTACTTTCAGTTAAAACAGATCAAACATGCATTTTAGTCTGGGACTAGATTTAAGCCTTGTCTATGAGACCGAGGCATAATATAATATAATATAATATAATATAATATAATATAATATAATATAATATAATATAATATAATATAATATAATATAGGGCGTTCAACAGTTTAGGGTTGGTAATTGTTTTTCTCTTATGCCCACAAGGGCTGCATGTATTTGATCAAAAATACAGTAAAACAGCAATATTGTGAAATATTATTGGCCTATATAAAACTTACTGACCTCAAACTTTTGAACGGTAATGACTTAATACAGATTTCATGTTCCTTCAGAATCCTGTATTAAGTCAGATTAACATTATACATTTGACCTCGTGGAATTTCACGTTTCATTAACGCTGATTACAGGACACGTAATTTCACAATCCCCAGATGAACTTCCATTTCAAAGTCTCACGAATGCTAACAGATACAGGCACTCCCATGATCCAGTACAATTGCAAAATGAAGAAAATGCTGTCTGCTCTTCATAATTTGGCTGGAGGTTTGATGTCCAGTCTTCAACTCTGCCAAAAACACCATGCGCAACAATGGCATGCCAATATTAAAGACAAACGAATCTAGTAATCAGATGATAAATGCACTTGTCAAGTAATCGAAACGAGATCATATAGGCCTACACTAATAATCATATTTATTGCAAAACAGTGTTTAGCAAGCTGTGCGTAATCTGTGCGTAAAATTTAGCTATTTGTTGTTCAAAATAAAACGAAATGAAACGCCTCTTACCTTATTCATAGCTCTTGCATCTCTGGCCAAAAGAAGCATATATGTTAAAATACTTGCGTAGATCCACATTTTTCATTAACTAACCCAAGTCCCTTTTTTTAATGCACACCTTCCACCTGATGATATGATTTGGCGTCTCTGAAAGCACCTGTATCCTCCCTCAGCCTGGAATTATGAGCCTAGATCCACTAGAACACAGGTTTACGGCTCCATGATTACAGGTCGGTGCCATGCAGAGTTGTGTATGTTGTGACGCGCAACTTCAGTGTAAGCAGCAGCTCGAGCTCGAGCCGCTCAGATCTGTGATAAACGCGCGCACACACCCACCATCATCCCCATCTCGGACACGCTGTCTGTGCCAATGCAAGGAGGGGGAACCACTGGCACCACTTCTGTGCCACAAGGACATTTGTGTTTTGAGCGTATTTGTAAATCTCCAAGGACATTTAAAAGTCACCGCTGACCACTATAATTATATTTCTATAATCAAAAGTTATGCGTAAGTTGCCTACGTGGTTGATGGTACATACAAAACCTCTCATTTTTATGTTTCATGTTTTTCTTCTTAATAATAATCGTATCGATATTATTAATGTTAGTATTATATATAGTTTATATTTTCAGGGACAAATAACGGGCAACGTAAAGCAAAGCTTCAGATTGAGTTTTCGCTGTTGTCTAGCGCCCTCTTTCGGTCAATAATGATTATACAATCATGACGGGAACATCTCGTGTGCATCTGGTGTGAATAAAAAGTTTTTAAATGTGCCAGACATGCTAGAAGTGCTTATGGTGCTTTACTACAATGCATTAACTAACATTAACTAACGAACAATACATTTGTTTCAATGTATATTAAACTTCGTTAAGTTACTAAAAATAGGTAGCTAATAAAAATGCAACTGTTCATTGATATTTCATGTTCATTTAGGTCCATTAAAATTTAATAATAGGCTATTAATAGACACGACTTTTGAATTTAATAATATGTTGGTAAATGTTGTAATTAACAAAGATTAATAAATAAAGTGGGCCTAGGCTATTTTTCATTAACTAATGTTAACAAATGCTACCTCATGTAAAGTGGTCACTTTATTTTACAGTTTTCTGGTTACACATGTTACATGTAGTACTGTATAATAACTATAAATAATGCATAATTACATGCAACTAACCCTAAACCAAACCCTCACAGAGTAAGTACATGTAGTTAATTATTATTACTCTACTTAAATGTAAAATTACACTGTAACACAGTCACCTTAAAATAAAGTGTAACCGTAAAGTGTTAATAAGAAAAGCAGGCTATTCTCTTTGAGAAAAAAAATCTACTTTAATAAACAACAATAAAAATTCAAATAGGATAAATAAAATGTCAATAAATACAGTAAATGGGAAATTAAATCGACATGAATAATATGTCAGCATATGTGCATTAATGAATATGATTAAGAACTGCTTTCAAATATCAGCCTGTTTTTGTATAGGCCTAAACTTTCTCTTCAAAAATGTTATTTAAAGGGATCGTTCACCCAAAAATGATTTTTTTTTATTTATTACTTACTCACCCTCAAGTTGTTCCAGACATGAGTTTCTTTCTTCTGTTGAACACAAAAGAAGATTTAAAAAAAAAACAAATGTTGGTAACTCCATAATAGGAAAACAATACTAGGAAGTCATTCTTTAAAAAATCTTCTTTTGTGTTCATTAGAAGAAAGAAACTCATACGGGTTTGAACAACTTGAGGGTCAGTAAGTAATGAAGACAAAATTGTCATTTTTGTGAACTATCCCTTTAAGATAAAACGACGAACTGGCGACAACTACGCTAAATAGTCCTAACTACTAAAAACCTCTAATATTCTTTCTGTTTTATCTGTAGCGATCTTCAGAAGAACGGTCTTGCCACTATGATTATTGTGATACTGTTAAAAAATGACTTATTAAATAATACATAAGCTATGCTGATGTCAAACTGTAACCCCGCCCCCTTTGACCAACGTGGAATATTATTGGCCAAAAGAAACCCGGAAGCAAAGTACATTGTTTTCAAAGCCAGTTATGCACGTGTTGGAAATATGGTCAGATTTAAGTCGAGGTAATGAAGCAGCAAAAAAATTAAAACAGATATTTTGCACTTTGTTAGGTTTTGAACTTCTAAACAATTTCGACCTTTCGTTATTCTTTGGACTGTGTGCAGGTATTTGCTATGCGAGATTTGCTTCTCTGAACGGAGCAGTCTGCCACTGTTGGAGGATAAAGCCCTTTACCACACAGTCCGGGCAGCCGTGAACCGAGCACACGGGGACTACGGATCAGCGCACTTTAACATAGGGGTGACGGGTAAACACTGGTCTTGTTTTCATGTTGTGCTCATCGTGAATATCTCAACGTATATAAGAATGTCATTGTTTTACGTTACCGTTATTTTAACTCATTTAGCGACATTGCATTTACTTAGCTCAGCCTAACGTCTCGTTACAGAAATGTAAAATCTTTTCAAATGTTCTTTAGTGAAATACCTGAATGCCCACACCGGAGTGGTTCTCATACGCTGCAGGAAAGGGCAATATCGACTCATCTGGTCTGCCCTTACTTTCATCACCTGCCTTGAGAACAGAGGACAGAGGGTGCCGTGCTTCTTCAACTGTTTACATGTTGGAGGTACTGGTCCAAGTTTAGAAGTCTAGATGAAAGCCAACTCCCCACAATGTCTTTACGTGTATTCTTTCTTACTGCCATCCATGTCCTTCCTGATCTCCTCCACAGGAACGATTAGAACATGTCAGAAGTTTCTTGTTAAGTACAATAGACAACAGCTCGACAGAATGCTGCTGGACTGCAAAACAGATGGTAAGTTATTTCTAAGTTATATTAGAGCCTACAGAAGCCCTAAGAGGCAATTTGTAATTATTTTTACTGTATATTTTTTTCGTGTTTTCTTGTGATCTAGACATAAAGATCCAATCCATTATCCGACAGCAATTCAATTTCATACCGTGTGTTTAGGAGCACTGTACTTTTGCTGTAGATTAATAACATGGAAGTTAAAGTCCACATGAAATGGAACATGATCAGGCGTCGATTTCGGTGGGGACGCGTACCCACCAGATTTCATCATGAGTCATTTTGTTCCCAGCACTTCTGAAAATGCACTACCGAACGCGTCTCTGGCCCCAGCACATTTCAAACCAAACTGACGCCCATGGACTTGATAGTCTTTTCTTCCTTATTGTGACAAATTTGAGTTAAATGGCTTCTCGAACAAGAAATGTACAGTAGGGCGAGACTTTGTTTTGTCCATCGGTAATTGATTGGATGGTTGTAGTTTGCTATTGCTGTGATGTCATGTGAGTTACAGGTGAAGTTATTTTGTGTAAAGATTACGAGGGCACATGACAATAATTAGTGTTGGGTGTTATGCATTTCTAAGTTATTGAATTACTTGTCCCTTGAAAAAGTAAAGTAAGGGATTACTCTTAATTTTTCTGTAATTTAATTACAGTAATTGCATTAAATACTTTCTAGACTATAGAACAATTCTATATAAAACAGTTGTGGATTTAACATCAAAATTGAATGTCTATGTTGAAATGTATGAGTGGTGAATGCATGAGTTGTACGAGGTATCTATTTTAAAACAAGCTAAACAAAATAGCTGCTGTTTTGACACATTTTACATGAGGATTTTAACTACCTTTAGGGAGATGATTTAGGATTTTGATGTGTAAATCAAATAATTATAAAACAATTATATGAGGTTAAATCATGGAATAGAGACCTCCAAAACTAAGATTAGATTGGTATACTGTAGGTTTTTAACATAATTTAGGTTTATTTCCTAACTTTGTCTGTTGGTATGTATTGTGTTATGTAAAAGTCCAAATGTTTTGTTCTGGCCGTGTTATGGAATTCATTTGCAAGTCAAATTTTCCAGAAATGGATTCAATTTAATTCAATTAATGTAAGCAATTTTCTATTATTTATTTGAATGAATTAAAAGAGCAGTTTCATGTTTATCCTTGTATTTTTGAAGTGGTCATCATGGTTGATATTGGATTTAGAAAGTAATAACTAATGCAATACTTTGTAAAGAGAATAATAAGTACAGTAATCTAATTACTCTGTTGAAGATGTAATTAGTAGCTTGTAATTAATTACTTTTTTAGAGTAATTTAATTCACCCAACACTGAAAAAAATGATGTGCACAGCACACAGATAAATAATTTATAATACTGAAATATCCTATATTTGAGTGCATCTTAAAAATCAAGTCATCATCTTGAGAAAACAAACTTTCATTTTATCGAGATCACGAGAAAATTATAGCCAACATGAAATCAAAATGGAATTTTTTTCACAAAACCTGTATATTTATTTCTTTTGGAAAAGAGTGTGGCAGATGGCAAACTATATATCTCTGGAAGTATTATAAATTCAATATTATAAGTGTTTTTTTTTTCTTATAATTTGTGATATTTGAGTAGACAAGGGATTTAATACGACACGTTTGTGAACATACCGTATTCTGTGTTTCTCTTCCCTTCCACAACAGCAGAAAAACAAGAGGTTAGGAGAGCAATCCTGAGCTGTTCCCTGAGTGCCGTCAGAGAGGAGGAAGCTTACGAAGATTGGAGTGATGATAATGAAGAGATCTAAAACCCCTCATATACAACTTTGTGTTAGTTTGTAGGTCTGAAATGCATCTCGTAACCATGCAGTGATTTGATGTTTTATTTTATACAACTGATAGGACATGGTTCATGTGGAGCCCTAACATTTCTAATAATATACGAAACAGTTTTCATTTTATTCTGTAAGTGATTTGTAAATTGAGTAGCCTATATCTTTACGTTACTTATATTATTGTGTGAAGACTATGAACTCTGGCCATGTGTTGTGTAGGTCACGTGTACTTTTTCTTCTGTACTAACTAAAACAACTGCTGGTTTTTTGTTATTAACTCAAAAATTTTTTTCAAATAAACCAAATATTAATAACAACAAATGCTTTGACAGCCAAACAGAACTCTTCGCCTATAAAAAGTATGCGATATTGCACAAGCATTACACCCATAGACTGTAAGATTACACCACATTTTGCAGTCGGATGCACCAATGAGAAGCGGCGACTCCACGCATGCGCACTTCGTAACCCCTGTGAGGCTTATAACCCTCATCCGGGTGTTTACGGTTCCCGTTTGGCGACTCGTCGCCATATGTCTGACTTTGTTTAGCTGAAGTAAAATTTGGGTTAAAACCCATTTATCCATCCGTTTTCCTCTTTCGGAGAGCGGCAAACGCCTTGTGGGGCGCAACAATTCCCACGCCAAGGAAAACTGCGCTTTTCAAGGGGCGAGGCCCCGCTTTTTGGGCACTTGTTTTTTTGTGTTAGCGCACAGCTTTTTTTTACTGAGACATTTGGATTGTGTCTCTGTTTTTCTCGGTTTGTTTGTGATCAAGATGTCGCCGTAATGGAGTCTCCGCGTTTGACAGAAATGAATAAGGGCCTTCGTCGCCTGACCCGCGTTCACAACAACCCGTTGTTCTCCCCATTTAATGCTAAAGAGCTCCGAAGCTCTCTCCCCGGAGTTCGGCCTCAAAATGGAGAAAAACCCAAACGCAAACAACAGCAGCAGCAACACGAAGATCCCGCCCCGTTCTAGCTCTACAGGCTCGACTCCTACTGACTCTAAAGCCAAAACAGGTAACAGAATCAGCGTCTTATACACACAAACACACGCTTGTCGTGGTCTGCTTTGAGGGGAAAGTATTGAAATGTTTGGGACTTGGGTTTTGTTTGTGTCTGCCGAGATGACATAAGTTAGCCACGGCTAGCGATTGGCCCGTTTCTCGAATAAACAATGGAGAAACTCGTAAATTATCAATAAAGCTTAGCATTTAACGTGGAGAAATTAACTCATTATGAGGCAGTAAGTTAACTTCGTTCCTCTAGAATTGTTTTTCAGCAATGTTTTACTTTTTTGGTGTACATTAATATTTTAATCAACATAAAATAAATCCACAGTAAACTAGATAACGTTAGTCCTATGATAGAATATATTAAACATTTTATATAAATATTACAATTATAAATATATTTAATGAACAATGTTATATACATTTATGGGAATTCAGTTTGTTTTAGATAAATGCTAGGTTAGAAGTTAATTGGATTTAAATTTTGATTCAAAACTATTGATATCTGTTTATTTCTCTATATATAGGAGTGACAACCACTAACGTTACCCGTGTTATCAGAGTAGGCCTATATGTGAGGTGGAATGGACTGGACACCACAGTAAATTACATAAACACATGGACTGAAAGCTGTAAATTCTTGAACAAATGTGGAACTCTGAACCTTTTATGGCATACTAGTTCAACCTTTTCCCAACTTAACCAGACTGCTTTTCCTGTGATTGCCAATTATACTGGTGTCCATCTATATCAGTAAATATATATTCACAGTCCACCTAATATAAACTACTGTTCTAATAACACAACGTGGTGGTGTGTGTCACTTTCTTATGTAGATAAACCATTATCAAAACTGAATTCCCTTAAACTAACCCAACATTTGCAACTGTATTCCCCCAAGGAGAAACATATTTTGGTTTATTGTATATGCTGCTCCTCTTAGTAGCAGATCAGATGCATGAGGATCATGGTCAGGATCAGGAAGGATCTATTCTTGTCAGCAGTCTGCCATGTGACCAGACGAAAAGCTTCAGTGCTGTATTGCCCTCTAGCTTTTGGATGGACCCAAGAAAGCCTCCAGCATATCAGAACCAAATCACTGTAGATAACGTAAACCGTGTTGTCTGTGTTTTAGTTATGAGTATGACAATGTTCTGTTGTGGCGTATGGCGCAGCGATCTCTGCTGCCGGATGATAAGCTATGTGTGTTTACACCCCTGCTCTTATCATGTGGTCCTCTGAAACACTTTAAAGTGCAGTGTGTGACTGAATTGATTAGCTAAGGCCTTGTGTGAACTGTGAATGTTGTCAAAAATATTGAAAAGTGCATCGTTCTTTCATTTTACAAAAGGGGCGTATATCTAATTTCAGCTTGCAGAGGGACGACACATATCAAGTGGTCAATATTGCAATCAAGAAAATGTTATATTTTCCTTGAAGTTGGTGGAGGCACCTAGCCTGGCTCCGCCCTCCTACGCACTTCCGCTCAATTTTATTTTCCTTCAGTACTACGTCTGGGATTGTGCTGTAGACTTTGGTTTCCAGAAATAATTTTTTTACCGGTCCAATCAGCGAACAGAGGGAGTGGCTGAGAACGATGACGTTGATGTAGCGCGTCAGTTTGAGTTGGAGTTCAGTAATGGCAGCGGAGAAAGACGTGAGAAAATCTATTCGGTCCGTTGTTGCAAAACTGCCGAATATCCAGAAGTTAAAGCCGGAACAAGATCAATGTTTGCTAAGTGTTGTTGGTGGCCATGATTCGGGAAAAGTTTAATTTTCCAGCTCACTCCGCTAGTGGTGAATGAGTTAGCTAAGGCGAACGATAGGATGCAAAGCCGATAGTTGTTGTCGTCTCCTCTTGTTGCACTAATGGAGGACCAAGTGAGGGAGGCAGAAAGGTTAGGAGTTGGTGCTGGGCAGCTCGGCGTGCACGATGATCACTGTACAGCATTTGCGGCAGATCCGAAACGACCGCAGCGGCGTATTGTTAATGATTACACCCAGCTTCGACAGTTGACTGAATACATCACTGTCATTAGTGTCAAATATACATTTAGAATTTAGAATTGTTCCTTGAACTCTTAAATTCGATGAACAAAACATGCAGCTCTCGTTGACAGACATCTTATTCTAAACATAATCCTCTGATCATTCGGACTTGTTTTTTTTTATTGCTTAAAACAATACACAAGTAATAACAGAAAACATAATACAAAAACAAACAAAAAATAATAATAAAAACAAAACAAAAATAAAACAGTAGGGGGATAATATAAAATAAACATGAACAAGTTAAGAGAATTACATGACACTGAAAAAAGGAAAATAATTACAAACAGATAATGTTTTTAAGGCTTTTTTTGTTCTCAGACAACTTAATTGAAAAGAGGTATTTTTAAAATTCTTTCACAAATATAAGAAAGAGAGGTTTAGCATTTAGATATTTAGATTTATGAATATGGAATTCGGACTTGTTCTTTCCAGCCGGTTTCGGCGCATGACATACGTCACGACCACACGTTAGCGATTGGCTATGGCAGATCCTGAGTGACTCTGGGCAGATCCAATAGTTTTGAACTTTAACAGAGAACCCGCCTACAAGGAAGTAAACGTTTCCCAATGGAGCGAGGCCAGACTCTCTGTACAAATGAAATGTACGAGAGTCTGGTAGAACCAGGCTAGGAGGCACCCCCATGTCAAGTAAAATGTTATGGTTGGAGTAATACGTATATTCATGTATTTTGACATTTATCCTTTTTTTCCTGTTCTTTTAGATGGTAAGAATAATGGGGGCTCAAAGCGCTATAGCCGCAAGCGTGAGCCTACTTTTGCCAAGGCCGAGAGCTTGCCAGGCCCACGTCGCTCCCAGCCACAGAAAAGCAAGAATTTTGACAAGAGACCCCCTCAGAGAGGTGGCGGAGGGGGGCGACAGTATGGCCTCGCTGGTGGTGGGAGAAGAGAAGAGGTGTGTTACAATAAGCCTTTGGATTGTGATTCATTTGTGCTTTCATTAAGGGCTGTTTTTATGTTTCCTTGTTGCATGTTTACATGCTGGTTTGCAATAATCATGCTGGTTAATGAACTACTAGAAAATAACACAAAGTAAACAAACAGACCTGTAGTTATATGGAATAACCAGGATAAACTGTTGGGTTCTCTCTCATTAGGTAGCAGAGAACCGCCGGGCAGAGTTTAGCCCGGCTCAGTTTGCTGGACCCAAAAAGATAAGTCTGAACCACCTGCTCAACTTTTCGTTTGAGCCACGTGGAGGCCATTTTGGCTCCGGAGGAGAGGGCCATTCCTGCTGGGGTCGCCGCAACAAGTGGGGTCACAAACACAAGCCCTTCAACAAGGAGCTTTTCCTACAGGCCAAGTGAGTACAGCAGGACGTTGCATATTTTATATCAATTGGTATTAAATCACACGCAACAATATTTAGTGTACCGCAGTCGCAGTGTTATATTAGCATCATTATTGTAGTATTATATCATTTATTAAAGGGGTCATGACGTGAGAAATCAAAATCGCATTGAGCTTTTGACATATAAGACATCATTATACCATTAAAACATCCTGCAAGTTTTAGAGCTTAAAACACCTCTTCAATATAAAGCATAATTTTTTTTTAAACTAAGCTCCAAAAACTGCTCATTTTGATATTGCGGGATTTGTGATGTCACGCGTGCAAAAACATTTGCTTATGACTGCCTCCAAAGCAAGACATCGACAATAGTTATAGATCATCTCACCATAGTAAATTATTTCATAACGCTTTGTCTGTGAATGAAGGTTTTATATGCATAATATTTTCAAAACACAAACTTGCATGTAATAGCGAGTGGGTGTTGATACTGTTTTCTATGCAATTACGTTAGTCAGTCATAACAGCGGCTGTTTACTGACAAGCCTTAAAGGAGCCGCCCCTTAAAAACTGATCAAAAACTGACAAAGGGTCAGAATGAAGGTTGAAAATAATCGTTTTTTGCATATATAGTTGTTTTTTGTGCAAAAAACTTAATTAACATTAAACCTGAAGGAACGTATTAAAATCAAATTAAATATCCATGTCATGACCCCTTTAATGTAGTAGGATTATATTATTTATTTATATTTTATTTATATACAGGTTTAGTTTGGTTATTTTCAATTTTTAGTTTTGATTATGAAAATTGGCAACCAACTGAAATATTTAAGTATCATCTAAATTGCTTTACATTTTATTTCAGTGAACATAAATGTACCTTAATAGTTTTAGTTAACCGTAATAACACTTGTGTACTCTTTAAAGGTTAAATTAAACAGTTTAGGTCTGCTCTACCTTTCTCCATTTGGCCAAACTGGATTAACAGCCTGCAGTCAATGTGATTGCTTAATTTGTTGGGGGGGACTTTTGTGTCAGTTCATGTTGTCAAAAGAGAAAAATGATTAGCTGATAAGCACATCTTCCTTTTGTCGACAAGTTGCCAGTTTGTGGTGATTGACGATCAGGACTATCAAGCACACTTCACTGATCCGGACACTCTGGTGGACTGGGACTGCGTGCAGCAAGTGGTCAGTTCAGACTTTACTCTTCCTTGTATGTGCTGTCAGTGCATTTTCTTCAAATGTTGCTCATGATTTGTTCTCTTTCCACACAGCGCATCTACAGTCACGAGGTGCCGTCTTGTCCGATCTGCCTGTATCCCCCTGTGGCGGCCCACATCACGCGCTGCGGCCACATCTACTGTTGGCCATGCATGTTGCACTACCTCTCTCTGAGTGAGAAGAGTTGGTCCAAGTGCCCCATTTGCTATGAGGCCGTGCACAGCGCTGATCTCAAGAGGTTCATACTGAAATTCCCAGTTTATAATGCTTGTTTTGTTTTGGTTGAAGGTGCAGTAAGCAATTTCTGAGAAACACTGTTGATATTTGAAAACACACCCACTTCATTGCTCGCCCCAAATATAACAAACATGCTATGCACCACAGGCAACCACAAACCACATTAAAAAAGCTCACGCAAGTATAGATGAATCGCTGCAATTTAACAACAGCTTATCTTGGTTCAGTGAAACAAAGCAAAAATCAGTGTTACCTATGCATCAAGCGGAAACAAAAGCAAACTCTGCATCCGTTTTCGGGCCTTCCCGCTCTCTAATGTCTCTCTAGCGCTGGAAAGCTTTTACAATATTAAAGTGGGTCCTAGCTCTTGCCTAATTGTAACCCTTCTTTTTCCAATTATATTCCTCTGACCATTTCCTCTTTGGTTATATCTCAGCCATCTCTCTTTCTACAAATGCCCCCTTCGCTCACACTCTCTCCTCCCTCATCATGAGTAGATACAAGAGTTTTGGTCTAATAGGTCTGATCCACTTTTTGTTTTTCTCCTATTCACACAGCTAGGACTAGGTACAAACACAATATTTTTACATCTAGCAAATATTCCCTAAATTTTTACCAGTGCTTATTGGAAATCGATTACTACACCTTTAATGTGAACATCATGTTGTTAACTTCATGAAACAAAAGGTGGTGGTGGTGGCAATTGAAATTGCTTTTGAAAGAAGTCTCTAATGCTCAACAAGGCTACAATTATTTGAAGTAATATTACGAAATATTACAATTTAAAATGACTCCTTTCTATTCTAATGTATTGTAAATTGTAATTTATTCCTGTAACTGTAAAGTTGAATTGTCAGCACCCATTGCTCCAGTCTTCAGTGGCACATAATCCTTGAAAAAAAAAAACATTCTAATTTGCACAATATTAGATTTTATTGTATTTTTGATCAAATAAATGCAGCCTTGGTGCGCATAAGATATTAATTTAAGATAACAAATGAATCATGCCAAAGTTTTGACCAGTAGTGTACAGATTTACTCAAAGTGAACAAATTGTAATGTCTCATTTATGTTGTCAACTTTCAGTGTGGTTGCAATGGAGACCCGTCAGTACGTGTCTGGTAACGTCATCACTATGCGTCTGATGCGGAGAGAGAAGGGATCGCTGGTGGCTCTTCCCAGCTCTCAGTGGGTTAAGGTGGAGGAGCCCATTCATTTTGAAGGTGAGGCATTCTACTGTTTGCATGAGATTTTTGTGGTGATCACTTGAGTTGATCTTATTTGACACTTTTTCTGCCCAACCCCCATTTTCTGCAGATGTGCATTTGCGTGCATACTCTAAGCTGCTGCTGGCGTCTCAGCAGCAGGTTTTGGGTTTGCTGGCTGAAGAGAGGATGGCTCTCCAATCCCAGCTCAGCCAAGAGAAAGACGACCCACAATCCTGTTTCATACAGAGCGCCTTACTGCAGCTGCAGGTACACATGCATTTACACCGGCATATGAATGTTGGGTTGGACTCAAAACTAGTTAAACAAGTCACACTGCTGTTTTCAAAAGTAGTTGGTATAAGTTACTCAACTAGTTTAGATGTTGACGTTGAAGCTATTTAAGGGGACAAAAACATAAGTTGTATAACTCAGGATCTGCAATTTATGGTATACTTTATTTCAGAAAATCGATGAGAATTTAGGTTGATGGCAGCAAACTTGAACGTTTACATGCAACCAACTATATAATGTTTAATAAACTGTTTTATAAAACTGAAAACATACAATTTGACATTGTTAAATACACTTTGAAAAGTCCCTGTGGATAAAAGCATCTGCCAAATGCATAAATGAAAATAAAATTGCTATAAGTTACTCAAAAATATCTTAAACTACATTAAAGCCGTTTAAGGGGACAATAACTTGTAATATGTAATTTATTATTATAAACCATTTATGCTTTTATGAAACTGAATATATACATTGTGACATTTAAAAAGGCTAAACAGCTACACGACTGAGCTATTTTACATTATTGAAAATTGTTAGATTTTGTTACTCTCCAAACACTGCACACTAACATGTAACCCTCACATTTTATCTCTGAATGAACAGGAGCGGGAAGAGGGTCTTTTGAAGTGTCGCCGTAAGTATGGCGGTTCTGTTGATATGGCGGACATGAGGAAACTGTCTCTATCAGAGCACTTCTCTCCAGAGGTGACTGTGGTCAAGAACCTCACTAACTCCAAGGTCAGTTGAAACTGTGCTCCTTTCTTTTAGGACTCTGCTCTGCTGCCCCACAGGATCTGGGCTTCAGATTATAAGCTTTCCCGTAGCTTATAGCTACAGCTTTCCTGTGTCTCAAACAGTAGAGCGTGTGCACTTGCAACGCCAAGGTCACGGGTTCGATTCCCAGGGAAAGCAAGAACTCATAAGAATGTAAATGTGTACCTTGAAATGCAATTGTAAGTCGCTTTGGATAAAAGCGTCTGCCAAATGCATAAAAAAATGTAAAAAAATAAAATAATGATCATGATGGTCTCAATCAAAGGCTGTTTGACAGTCATCATCCACTGTGTTTTGGGAATTTTGTCATTCAATAGCTGCGTTTACATGGACCCTTATAATTGGATTGACGGCTCAATCGGACTATAAAAAACTTCATGTAAACACCTTAATCGATCTGACTGAGCTCGATCCGATTGGAATTTCGATCGGATTGAAAGGGGTGGTTTCTAATCCGATTGAGAGGACATGTAAACACTTGATCGGATTGAAAACCGGAACTGAAAGGATTGCACGTGCAATGACGTTAAAATAGCGTTATGACGTATGACGCACGGAACGAGCTGTTCTTCCTGTTGAATAAAGTGTCATCTAAATGAGTTTCTGGTTATTCTAAAATTCTCATTTCACTCCGCTTCTGTGAAGTGGAGCAGGACAACGTCCCACCAGTCCTTGTTTCAGACTCTCATCCACAGACGACTGGTTTAGGGCACGGGATTTACTGCATGATAAATATAAGCAGCACGGCAAAATGGTTCATGCTCATCGTCTCCAAATCATGACCAGAGATGGATAAATATTAAGTCTGCTGTTTAAAACAAATAAAGAACCAATATAGGAGAATAGTTATGTGCGAATAGTGGCAGTAGCTGTGCAGTGTGCACATGTGAAAATCAATTCTGATTTGAAGCTTGTGACATATAAACGCACACATCAACCCGATTACTTTATTTATCGTTCATGTAAACACGGTGTTCAGATTCATCAATCGGATTGATTTCATTCCGATTGAACCAAAAGGTGTCCATGTAAACGTAGCTATTGTTTTTACGCAGCATAGGAAAATAAAAAGTTCTAGTCAAGTGCTGTGTTGCAAGTTTATGGCTTTTAAAGCTGCAGTCCGTAGCTTTTTTTGGGGTTAAAAATGATCCAAAATGCATATTTGAGAAAATACATAACCAGCCAGTGTTCAAAACTATCTGCTTGCCTTAGCTCGATTCAAAGCGGTAAGCTTGTAATAATGTTTTTAATTCCAGTGGAACTGGTGGATTTCCGCGGGAGATTCGAGCATGTCTTTGCGTCATTACGTCACATCTGTACACATAAAGGAGTCTCGGCTAGTAGGCTATATTGAGTCATTACGTCACATCTGTCCACATAAAGAAGAGTCTCGGCTAGTAGGCTATATTGAGTCATTACGTCACATCTGTCCACATAAAGAAGAGTCTCGGCTAGTAGGCTATATTGAGTCATTACGTCACATCTGTCCACATAAAGAAGAGTCTCGGCTAGTAGGCTATATTGAGTCATTACGTCACATCTGTCCACATAAAGAAGAGTCTCGGCTAGTAGGCTATATTGAGTCATTACGTCACATCTGTACACATAAAGGAGTCTCGGCTAGTAGGCTATATTGAGTCATTACGTCACATCTGTCCACATAAAGAAGAGTCTCGGCTAGTAGGCTATATTGAGTCATTACGTCACATCTGTCCACATAAAGAAGAGTCTCGGCTAGTAGGCTATATTGAGTCATTACGTCACATCTGTCCACATAAAGAAGAGTCTCGGCTAGTAGGCTATATTGAGTCATTACGTCACATCTGTACACATAAAGGAGTCTCGGCTAGTAGGCTATATTGAGTCATTACGTCACATCTGTCCACATAAAGAAGGGTCTCGGCTAGTAGGCTATATTGAGTCATTACGTCACATCTGTACACATAAAGAAGAGTCTCGGCTAGTAGGCTATATTGAGTCATTACGTCACATCTGTACACATAAAGGAGTCTCGGCTAGTAGGCTATATTGAGTCATTACGTCACATCTGTCCACATAAAGGAGGAGTCTCGGCTAGTAGGCTATATTGAGTCATTACGTCACATCTGTCCACATAAAGGAGGAGTCTCGGCTAGTAGGCTATATTGAGTCATTACGTCACATCTGTACACATAAAGGAGTCTCGGCTAGTAGGCTATATTGAGTCATTACGTCACATCTGTCCACATAAAGAAGAGTCTCGGCTAGTAGGCTATATTGCGTGTGAGGATGCTGGAGGTGGAGATGTATAGCCTTTTCTCACAGCACTTGATATAATTTAACTTATCAATTTGATGGCGGATCCAGAAAGGTTCAAACGACGATCGCCAGAGACAACAGATTCACCCGCTGTAAAATGCAAAAGACTTCGTTCGGACTTCGGAGTGGCTACAGAAAACAAGAGACTGCAACCGGACCCATGCGAAAACAAGGATACATATCGGAAGGACATTACATGTAGTCACGCAATGCTGACGTTGTTAACAAACATTAAAGGGGTCATATAATGCCATTTTTGTACAAGCTAATATGATTCTTTAGGGTCTAAATTAAAAGTTTGTAATATACTTTAATTAAAAATTCTCATTAGTATTGTAAGAAAACACTTATTTTACCTGGTCAAAAACAGCTCTGTTTTCAGCACGCCGTTTCAGTGCATATGACTTTAAATGATCATGAGCTTTGCTGACTCCGCCTCTCTGTTCTGTGCGTACACCAGAGCTCTGGCGCATTTGTAACTCAATAACCATAACGCGTTGTTCAGTATAAACGTGGGATTATGAATTAAATTGAGAACGTCATACATAGAAAACATGCCGTAATGTACCCTGAGTGTAAACCTTAGACGCATTCATTGTGAAGCGTGCAGCTAGCGATTTGCAAAGATTAATATATTAATATAAAGTTTAATAAAACGTTACACTCACTTCCGTTCTTCTGGAGATTCAGCAGGAACACGAATATCTGGTAGCAGCTACCGATCCATTTTTCATGAGCAGCAGCTTAGCAAATCCAGCTTTATACTGATCCTCGTCTATAAAGCAGTCTGGTGAGAAGTGATTCGCGCAAATATGAAAGCATTGACGTTGCTCGTGGGGAATATTCCCTTCGAAAACAAACTCAGCCACTGCGTCTTCAGCGGTTAGGATTTAGGAACATTAAAATGACTGCTGTGTTCGTTATTACACCCAAGAACAGAACACCACAATCGCTTCGACGCCATTCTGCTCATAGACAGTGCTCCAGCATGTCAACAATGACCGCGCAGACTATGATTGACAGCTCTCTCATGGAGCTGATCTCACCCGCGAGGGCGGGTCTGTGTTGAGACGGTCCTGTCAATCAACAATCGTGGGAGGGGCTTCCGAGCGTGTGACGTCACACGGTCGAACGGCTCGATTTGAGGCAGGGGAAAACATATAAGGAGATTAAAACAAAACCACTGGATGGATTTTTATCATTATATGATGGTTGTGTACAGGCACTGCCAACACACATTTCAGTACAATCAACTTGTAAAAGTGCATGCACCATTATATGACCCCTTTAACAATTTGAGAACAAAGTATAATTTGCACGGTTTTGCGTGATTTGATAACTTATAAGCGATTGTTAGATTTAATCAGCGCGATTTACTGCAATGTCAGAACCAGAACAAAAGTGGATGTTTCTTACTTGGTTAGATGACATTTTCCGGTGAAAATTCTTATGTTGGTCACACTTCCAAAAATAATAATCTGTGATTCTGAATGCCAGTATCCACACCGGCGCGGTGACTGACAGCCTCAGTCTCCTCAGACACTGTGTTCCTCCGCACTGTGCCGTGTTGAAGTACAACTCACGTAAAATTGATAATTCCGCGAATGACTGCAATTGCAGATTTCAAACAGAAATGGCGACAGAGGAAAAACGCCGGACTGCAGCTTTAATTCAGCTCTAGCAATAATGATAGACAGTAAACAGTGTGATCTGTTCAATAATTATTCCACTGAACTCCTTTTGGAATCTTTCATTTTTCTTCCTAAACCGGTGCCGCAACAGCTTAAGGCTGTCTACACTGGACGAGACAAAGCGTAGACAGCATTACTGATTATAATGGGTTCTATTTGGGTCATTCCATGTCAAATCAAACAATTTTCAGAAACTTCTCAAATTTTTTATTTTGTTAATATTTTTTCTGAAGAAAGACAAACATCAATGATGATGAAATAAAAATGGATCATGGATGTAAAAAAAAAATGGATCATGGATGTAAAAAAAAAAATGGATCATGGATGTAAAAAAAAAAAAAAGCATAAGAAATGCATAAAATGCAACACAGATTGCAAACGTAAACAGATTTAACTAATAATGATGCTTCTATCTTTCTACCCCCCTGTAATTTGGCTCCAAATCTCAGGTGAAAATTGTTATTTTGGCCCCCCTCTACAAAATGGTGGATTACTCAGGAAATATATATTCATAACATTTATTATTTTGCCTTTCTTCTTCGTTTATGTATTTCTTTCACCAGGAAAAAAAGATAAAAATGAAAAAATATTAGCTGGGGATCTCTGGTTAAGTTGACACGGAATTACTCATTTGCTTTTGTCGCGCCGCGTGTGTCCGGTGTAGACTGTGTTAAACTGCTAAAAAGAATGTTAGGTACAATGTGCTTATTGTGTTCATGTTGTACTGCAAACTTTATTTTACAGTCCTGTTCCCCATGCACATACTATGCACTTAGTAATTGCGCTAACTGGATAATAACTAGGTACTAAACTTGAACCTGCCCCTTAACCTAACCTTAACCCCTATAGTTACCTTATATTACCCAGTACTTTCTTAGGTAAGTGCACGTACTGTAAAATAAAGTGCAACCCAAAACACTTTTGCTGCTATTGAGGTGGGATACGGATATGGTTAGAGACTGGTTTAGTGGTTTGGGTAGGTTTAAAGTGGAGAGGAAGGGTCAACAGTGTAATTATAGATGTAATTACAGAACTTGCAGCAGAATTACAGCTGTTACAACATATAACTACTATGTTAGTATATAGTAGTTAAAGACACTTAAATTGGAACCTGAATATTGACCGAATATCAGTGCATGTTTTTGGACTTTAATGTAGTGTGTCCCTCCACAGCCCATCGTTCAGTATGCCTCAGCTTTTGATGATGAGCTTCAGGAGGCTCATGAGGAGCCAGTGGAAGAGATGACCGCTCCGAGTGTTCCCGAGGGGGCTGAAAGGATGCCTGAAGGGGCTCTGGAAGACAAACCTGTAGAAGAGACCCCTCAGACCAGTCAGACTGCTCATCATGGCCCATATTACTACTTCTATCAAGGTGTGTGTTAGTCTATTTGTAATGAGGCTTTAAACCTCTTTTCCAGTTATGTTATACAACCGTAACTCTGTGTAAGCAATGGAGATGGAGAGTAAATATGACACTTATTTCTCTCTGTAGCTGAGGATGGTCAGCAGATGTTTCTGCACCCGGTGAACGTGCGCTGTCTGCTGAGAGAGTACGGGAGCCTGGAGAAAAGCCCTCAGTCTATCACCGCTACCGTAGTGGAGATTGATGGACAAACGGTCTCTGAGGTACACACAGTCTCTCACATTTACGACAGTACTGTCACACATTTTCAGATGACCTCAGTGCCCAGTTAACATCCTGGCATTAAAAATTGTTATTTTTGTGTGCAAAAATAATCTTTGACTAGAGTGAATTAATGTTCCTCTCAAAGGATCAGGATTTAAGTAATGCCGCCTACTATGATGAAGTAATTAACACAGAGCTCATTCGTAGGATATTCGCCGTCGGCATCGGTACCTCTCTCACCTGCCCCTCACGTGCGAGTTCAGCCTGTGTGAGCTTAATCTTCAGCCACCCGTTCTCTCTAAAGAGACCCTGGACAGCTTCGCAGGTACATGCATGCTAAATAATACAAACCAGTAATGCAACTCCACTATAAAATAAATGTAAGTGATAAAAGAAATATTAAATAAGTCTAGTAAAATTACAATACTCTTGTCTTAATTTTTGAACTTGCAAGAGTTAAACCATCTAGCTTTTATTTTGGAGGAAAACCGTCAACATGGTTTTCACAGAAAGTGGAAATGGGAAACTATTATACTACAAATCTCATGATTATATGTTTTGCTATTCAAGTTTGGGGGAAAATAAATAGTGATATATCATGTAATCATTTTTGCGAGTTTTACAAAGAGTATTGACATTTTTTTTATATTTGTGTGTCTTGCAGATGACTTGGAGAAACGGAAGCGCCTGAGACAGAAGAAAGCAAGGGATGAAAAGAGAAGGGAGAAGAGGATTGAGATGGAGGAAAACAGGAAACAGGGGAAATGTGAGGATTTAATTTTGATTAAAATTTTTTTTTTTTTTTTTTTTTTTTTTTTTTTTTTTTTAAATAGACAAAATGTCAGATTTTTGAACTCAATTCAGATGTTGCAGTTGGTTTGTCAGGGTGTGATTATTGAATGTCTTGGTGTGTTGTTCAGATCCAGAGGTGCACATTGGGCTGGAGAACCTCCAGCATTTTCCTGCGTTTGGATCTCCTCCTCAGAGCGGCTCAGGGATGCACATCCCAGAGTTCCTGCTGGGACCCCCGTCCCCTCTGAGCACCAGCCCTTTATCAGGTAACACTCACTCACTCTCTCTCTTGCCCTGGCCTTCAGTGCTTGCTTTTGTGCTCATTTCCCATATTTATTTCAGATGGAGTGATGTTCCCTAATCTGAGTGAGCACAGTCCATCTTTGAGTGTCGCCAGTGTGGAAGAGGACTCTCACTGCATGTCCTTCGCTCAGGTTTGCCTAAAGCACTTTCTTTCACTTTTATAACAACAAAATAGTCAATTTTGTAGCCATCACATTGTCTTCATTTAGTGGGAAAATCTGCACTAAAATGAAATTAAAACTAAATTTGAATATAGTAAAAAAATAATGCCATTGTGAGTGTCAAATTGTCCCATACTGATGATCCTCTCTGGTGTAGATGCTGAAAGATGGGAAAGCTCGTGTGGATGCCGGGCCAAAAAGCATCCCAAAGAAAGGTGAGCCTCCTGTCAACACTTGACCTGACCGATACGCTTGTTTCTTGTTGGCTCACTGTTAACTAACTCTTATTAGCGTAGTTTTGTAGTGACGTGTGTGTTTTCCTCCATAGCAGACATGTTCCTGGCCCCTCCTATGGCAGACAGTGATGGAGAGAGTGACGGCTCGGATCGGGTTCCAGTACCCAGTTTCCAAAACTCCTTCAGTCAGGCCTTCGAGCAGGCTTTGTCTCAGCTGGACAATGGAAATCAAGGCCCAGCACAGGCTTTACCCATCCCTGGTGAGGAAAAACATTTATACACACTACTGTTCAAAAAGAGGTTAGGTTACAGTTTATTTTAAGGTGTCCGTGTTACAGTGGAATACGGAGTAATAATAATGAACTACATGTACTTACTATAGGGTTAGGAATAGGGGTTGGCTTAGGGTTAGCATGTAATTATGCATAATAGTTATTACTACAGTAACTACATGTAACATGTGTAATGGACACTGTATAATGGTATCACTGATTTCTGTTATTGAAAGAAGTATCTTCTGCTCACCAAGGCTGCTTTTATTTGATAAAGTCAAACCAGTAATATTGTGTAATATTATTTAAAGTAACTGTTTACAATTTACAATTTGAATGTTTTAAAATGTAATTTATTCCTGTGACGGTAAAGCTGAATTTCTAGCAGCCATTACTTCAGTGTCACATGATCCTTCAATAATCATTCTTTAGTAGCATTATAAATGTCTTTACACTCACTTTTGCTCAATTTATTTAATCCTTTCTCATTAAAAATATATTTGTTTCTTAAAAATAGTGTCATGTCAGTTATATAGTTTTTTGTTGAAATAATAAAAGTGGTGTTTGTTTGGCACAAAAATAATGGGAGTGACTGCATTAAACTCAAACACAAGTTTACTTAAAAATACTACTAATAAAGAACTTGTTAAACCACAAAAGTCCATAAAATACCTCACAGGGACTTCTGGACGGAGACCTTTCAAATGAATCATTAAATCTTTTCTTTGAACCAGTGGATTCATTCAAACGAAACTCCCCTTAACTAGCTTGCTCTGAAACGAAGGAAAAATGAAAGCAGATTGAAAGTGATTTCCAGAACGTTCATTACATTCCCTTTCTTTTCTTTTTAGATGAGAAAGGGGGGAAGAAGAAAAAGAAAAAGCAGAAGCTTCTGTTCAGCACCTCTATGGTTCACACCAAGTAAACACTGAGGTTCACCCTTCACTCCTGTCACTTTCCTGCCTTATTCCTCCCATTTGCTTCGGTTTCATTATATCCCGCAATAGCAGCTTCCCTCCTTTCATGCCCCAGTTGAACGAGACCCTCTCCAGACGTTCAGTGACCAGCAGGAAGTTCAATAGCAGCAGTGATTGTACTCGCCATTGACTCAGTATTATAGATCAGTCTCACAGAAGAGACTTACTGGAACAACAGACTCCTGTAACTTCAGCATATGTGTCTCCTATCAGCATTTAAAGAGCTTTAGATCAGTTCTATTTGACATGGCGCTGTAGTTCAGTGCCGATTCTCCATTATTGTCCAGAAAGTGGATCTGGTTGTTGGTTATGGGTTGCAGTGATGTATTTCGGGGGGTCCTGAGGTAGCAGTCAGCCAGCTGTAGAGACGTCCTGCCCCCCCTTCATCATATCTGTGACACCCTTACACTTCAACCTTCATGATTTAAATCTGGGAATAAACCCTAGCAATGCTAACAGCAGAAAAAAAGAGGAACCTGAAGTGAGGATTATATGCATTTGAGTTATTCCTCAAAATATGCTGATTGGAACACGTTCATGCTTGGTTGTTTACACAACATCACACATTTTTGTCCCTGCTATTATTGTGAACTTCAGTTTGTATTTAACTTACCAGCTGTTATTTGTCTATCCTGAGAACTGCCTTTCAAAATCAGACACATTAGTACATGAACATGCAAATGAGAAATCATCTCTTTTTTCTGCTGGAATTGCTGAGAATTTAGTGGGTCTTTTTAAGCACTTGACTATTAGAACGTCCAACTATTAGACGGGGTTCAGAGCTGCTCATGTTCTCTAGATGTCACTGCTTGCTGTGTGTTGAGTGAACAGAATATGTAAAGACAAAGAGAGGCTATATCTAATTTTGTAGAGGGTTACATTTTTCCTCTATTTTCTTTTCTTTTTTTTTTCTGATGAAACCTGTGGTAAAGAACCATATGCATACTGATTAAGTTGAATGAATAAAGGATTCTTATGCACTGGTATTCTGTGTCTTATTTAAAACATTTAATTTCACTCTACAAAAAGACCATTTCTGAGAACTTTTGCATATGTTTTTGGCTTGGATTGTAGTCACAAAGATGGCACTGCAATAAAATTAGTTAAAAAAAATTACAGGTTTATTGGAATTTTGTTATTTTCATAGATTATATTGTTTTGTTTTTTACGTACAGTGCATCTGGAAAGCATTCACAGCGTTTCACTTTTTCCACATTTTATGTTACAACCTTATTCCAAAATGGATTAAATTATTTCCCTCAAAATTCTACAAACAATACCCCATAATGACAACATGAAAGAAGTTTGTTTGAAATCTTGAATCACATGTACATAAATATTCACAGCCTTTGCTCAACACTTTGTTGAAGCACCTTTGGCCCCAATTACAGCCGAAAGTCTTTTTAAGCATGATGCTACAAGCTTGGCACACCTATTTTTGGGCAGTTTCTCCCATTCTTCTTTGCAGAACCTCTCAAACTCCATCAGGTTGGTGCACAGCCATTTTCAGATCTCTGCAGAGATGTTCAATCGGGTTCAAGTCTGGGCCAACTCAAGGACATTTGCAGAGTTGTCCCGTAGCCACTCCTTTGTTATCTTGGCTGTGTGCTTAAGATGAACTGTCGCCCCAGTCTGAGGTCCAGAGCAGGTTTTCATCAAGGATGTCTGTACATTGCTGCACTGACTAGTCTCCCAGTTCCAGCCGCTGAAAAACATCCCCACAGCATGATGCTGCCGCCACAGGCCTGATTGGTGGAGTTCTGAAGAAACGCTGGAGCTCTGAGTGACCATCAGGTTCTTGGTCACCTCCTTAAAGGGATAGTTCACTTTGAAATTAATTTTTGGTATGTTTTAGCTTACCTCAAGGGCATCCAAGATGTAGGTGTCTTTGTTTCCGCAGTAGTTTCAATTTTGATATTTTTAGGTCAAACCGTTCTTGTCTGTCGGTCATATAATGCAGGTCTATGGTCACCACCTCAAAGAGCATGCACAGAGAAGTCCAAATTAAACATGATTTAATGACTCGTAAATGTAAGTACTCATTGATGGCCTATCCAAGATGTAGGTGTCTTTGTTTCCGCAGTAGTTTCAATTTTGATATTTTTAGGTCAAACCGTTCTTGTCTGTCGGTCATATAATGCAGTCCTATGGTCACCACCTCAAAGAGCATGCACAGAGAAGTCCAAATTAAACATGATTTAATGACTCGTAAATGTAAGTACACATTGATGGCCTATCCAAGATGTAGGTGTCTTTGTTTCCGCAGTAGTAAATGTAAGTACACATTGATGGCCTAAGACACGAAACGAGCGGTTTGTGTGAGAAAACGAACAGTATCGTTTTTAGCTCTAGTAACCACAGACCGAAGCGCCTGCGCCCTCAGATCACTTGGACGTGGCTGTGGTTACAAGAGGTAAAAACGATATAAATACTGTTTGTTTTCTCACACAAACCGCTCGTTTCGTGTCTTAGGCCATCAATGTGTACTTACATTTACTACTGCGGAAACAAAGACACCTACATCTTGGATGCCCTTGAGGTAAGCTAAAACATACCAAAAATTTATTTCAAAGTGAACTATCCCTTTAAGGCCCTTCTCCCCCGTTCGCTCAGTTTGTCCGGGCAGCCAGCTCTAGGGAGAGTCCTGGTGGTTCCAAACTTCCATTTACAAATGATGGAGGCCACTGTGCTCATTGGGACCTTTTAATGCTGCAGAAATGTTTCTGTACCCTTCCCCAGATCTGTGCCTCGATACAATTCTGTTTCAGAAGTCTCCAGACAATTCCTTGGACTTCATGGCTTGGTTTGTGCTCTGACATGCACTGTGGGACCTTATGCCTTGTGGGACAAGTGTGTGCCTTTCCAAATCATGTCCAATCAACTGAATTTACCACCGGTGGACTCCAATCTCAAGTATGATCAGTGGAAACAGGATGTGATTTTTATTTTTTAAAAATAAATTTGCAAAGATTTCAAACAAACTTTCACGTTATCATTATGGGGTATTGTTTGTAGAATTTTGAGGAAAATAATGAATTTAATCCATTTTGGAATAAGGCTGTAACAAAATGTGGAAAAAGTAAAGCACTGTGAATACTTTTCGGATGCACTGTATCACCACTTCCTTTATAAAAAGTAAAAAATGTTATAGTTGCTTAAAGCTGCCTTCACACATTCCTAAATTCACATCATACAGTTGTACATTACGTTTTAAAGAAAAGTATGTTTTCTTTGGATAATGTAAATAATTATGTAATAAGAATAAAATAATAATTTTATTTTATAATTCTGCATGACCGTATTCTACATCCCTTAATCCTACTCGATACCCAAACTTAACTACTTTACTATAAATAAGCAGTTAATAGGAGTTTGAGGAAAAAGTGAGAATTGGACCCTAAACTAAAGTATAACCAAATTAATAAATTCTTCTTTTTTAAACACTTGAAATTTAAAATGGTTTACTTGAGGTTTTAAATAGAGCAGTAACACTTAAGGTCTCATTTGTTAATATTAGTTAATGCATTAACATGAACTAACAATAAGCAATATATTCTTTTTGCATTTATTATCAACCTTTGTTAATGCTAGTTAATAAACAATTTCAAATGTTAAGATCAACATTTACTAAGATTAATACATGCTTTATCATACATAGAAGTATTGTTTATCATTAGTTCATTTTAATATTAACTAATTAAACCTTATTGTAAAGTGTTACAAATAAAATAGTAAATTAAAACATTTTAGATGCACATTTTAATTTGGCATTTCAAAAACTTTCAAATCATACATTCAGACATTTATTCTTATGGTCACAGATAAACTGGACTTTCAGTTGGATACAGAAGGCATCATGTTCCTTTTGTTTGCAAAAATGCTTTTATTCTCAGATTTTGATTACATACAAAATGGGCGGTTACACGGTATGCGATATTCTTCCAACAGTATTGCCAAACAAAGTCACAGATGAAATTCGATATCAAATCACTGGCTCAACTTCCTCCCCCCTTCTTTAATGTCACATCAACTGAGAAACTGTAAGGCTACAGGGTAAGAACGGATATAAAACACTTTGCTTTGGTTAATTAATCTCGGTAAATGCGTATTAGATACAGAAAACCTGCACTGGCTCAAAATGATAAAAAAATGTTATATCAGATGATTTTTGTGTATGAGAGAGGAGTATATAGGGTTTTTTTAGGACGTGAAGAGATGAATATATGCATGTATGAAGTGTTAAAATGATAAAGATGGATGGCGTTCATAATGGAAGGATAAAAGCGCCATTATTTGGCTACACTCTGTCAGACGGAGCAGTTATGAAAGCCATTAATCGAGAAATGGCACAAGACAGAAATAATTGAATTCATGAAGGAGCAGAAAATCATTGGACGTATGTTTAGAGCTGCAGGTAGTTTGCCGCCATGGCAAGTATTGGGGCTCCTGTTGGGACCCCCGGGAAAGGGCCGCTGGATCCAGCAATGTCGATATGGGAGTAAGGCAGAGGTTTGTCCGAGTCCACTCCATGCTGAGGGGCAAATGTGCTGATGGTTAGTATATGTATTTTTGCCAGACAACGCCAGTTTTTTTATCATATTCACAAAACTTGCATGGCCCTCAGAATGTTTTGTATGATAACATGAACAAAAAACAAAATTCATTCATTCCTTTTTCTCAACACTTTTAATGTTGGTAACATTTTGAACAAAAAGCTGAGAAAATGGCATTTTTGTCAAAGACTTTGCATGTTAAAAAATGTCATTCTGTTGCGTTAAGGCAGTTTTGATTCATATGCTGTTAAAGGATTAGTTCACTTTAAAAAAAACTTTTGCTGATAATTTACTCACCCCCATGTCATCCAAGATGTCCATGTCTTTCTTTCTTCAGTCGAAAAGAAATTAAGGTTTTTGATGAAAACATTCCAGGATTTTTCTCCATATAATGCACTTTACTGGGCACCAAACGGTTCAAGGTCTAAAAGACAGTTTCAGTGCAAACTGTTCAAATGGCTTTAAACGACACCAGATGATGAATAAGAGTCTTATCAAGCGAAACGATCGCTCATTTTAAAAAAAACAAAAAAACAACGTTTAAGTTTTATAAGCTCACATGCTCGCCTTTCTCTGTTCTGTGTAACTCTCCTGTTCGAACTCGTTAATCAAAATGAACAAATCTTTTTCAGAGTCAATTCATTTATTTCGGTCGTTAAATGAATCAAATGACTCGAAAAAAGATTTGTTCATTTTGATGAACAAGTTCGAACAGGAGAGTCACGAACGTGCATCACAGAACAGAGCAAGGCGGGCATTTGAGCTTATAAAACTTAAACTTTGTTATTTATTTTTTAAATGACCGATCGTTTCGCTTGATAAGACCATTATTCATCGTCTGGAATCGTTTAAAGCCCTTTGAACAGTTTGCAGTTTGCACTGAAACTGTCTTTTGGACCTTGGACCGTTTGGTGCCCAGCAAAGTGCATTATATGGAGAAAAATCCTGGAATGTTTTCATCAAAACCTTAATTTCTTTTCGACTGAAGAAAGAAAAACATGGACATCTTGGATGACATGGGGGTGAGTAAATTATCAGCAAAAGTTTTTTTTAAAGTGAACTACTCCTTTAAATGTTTGATACGTGATATTGGGTTCACAAGGACTTTTAAGAAATCTTCAATGACGAGATATATGACTGGAAAACTCTTTTATTCAACTGAAAGTCACAAAATGCAAAACAATGCAGGTGCATTTTGAAATGTTTTAACTAATCTAGTGCTGTCGCTAATGATTATTTTGGTAATAAATAGATTATTTTGATGATTAATCAGGTCTATTTTTATTACCACTAAAATGATCTAAGTGAACAATAGCCTTTAAAATGACTTAAATACATATAGAATAACAATAAAGCAATTATAATTGGTTCAAAAGCAAGTAATCATACGGTTTTATTGAACACTGTTAAACACATAATGTGATATGCTGTACATAATATAAACAATAGACTTATGTACATTATTACAACAAATGCCTGCAGAGGGCGCCTACAAGCCTGGTGATTGTTATGGTTAAACTTTACAGTTCAAATCCTTGTTTAATATTAGCCAAACAGCAATCAAATTCAAATGTCCACTTAATCTTTAATATTTGCTCACTTCTTTACGATAGAAATGCTACAGCCACTCAGAGCAAGGGTTTAAACTTTTATTTTGAAATCACAATGATCAACAATTCGCATATTTAGAAACATATTGATGTATTCTCCTGTGTTGGCGTAGGCTTATAAATGATTTATATTACAAATCTGGTGAAATGGCGCACCCTGTGTTCCCAGATGAACGATATAACCAACCCAAACTCACAGCATATGCAAAAATGGAGTTTGAGACGCTCCACGAATGTAAATGACAACAGCGTGTCAGACTTTATATGCGTTCCCAAATGCACGTTTTTGGAAACCCAAGCAAACAGCAAGGTTTTGCCACAAACTCAACCCATGCTGATATCACAAGACAGCTTTTCACTGCGACAAGAAATATCATCACGGTTTGGTATCGCAAGAGATGCTGAAACCTTAGGCGAGTGTGTGCGCGTCTACCTTATCCAGTCCAGAAGCCATGATGAGGAATGCGCCGGGCGCCTGGTGTCCGCGTGGTGTGGCAGACGAAGGCAGGTTATTGGACTGGAGGATCTCCTCATACTCAGACTTCCCTTTGTGGAACTCATAATCCTCCCGACGGATGGTGGACACCTCAAACATATCTCCCAGCACCTCCCCCGCTGCCACACAAAAACAGATTTCAGACAAATCCAACTACGTTGATGGAAACAAAAAGGTCTAAGCTCTTCGTACCTTTCTGCCACTGCAGAGCGTTTCCTGAGCGTTGAGCAGCACCGTTATCCATTATGATCTACAGGGACACATGGAGAGGGACACGGTCAAGATGAAACCGGTCACAGTAGCACTGACGTGTGATAAAGATGTTCAAGTACTCACAGAGTACTGCGGCCCCATGGCTCTGACAGCATGTCCGGTCAGAGTGGCAATAGTGAAGAGATGAGGTGACACTTCCCGCAACGCCTAGAGAAACAAACACGAAAGGTCCAGACCACCAAAAAGGATAAATGTCATATTTAACGCTTTCCCTGCCATTGATGGAATTTTCCAGCTTTCCTTGTTTTCCCTGTTATAGACCTTATGTAGCTCCGCTCCCATTTCAGCGCTGGGCTCGTTGTGTTCTGTCTTCCGGTGTGTATTTTCAGAACATGAGGGTAAGATCTTACGGATTTATGAATGAACCGCTCGTTTTAAAATCTTCCCATGCTACTGACATTTGTTATGATGTTGCTTCAAACATTACATTGCTCATGATAACTTTCGTTAACTCTACAATAAGTAAATCCACGTCACCAGTTAATTACTCTAATTTGTGAAAATACTAAAAAACGCTGGCGGGGAAAGAGTTAATAATAATTTTACAATTGAAATAAGCATGAAATAAAATTAAATGACAAATGACAAAATCTATGCGAAGCCTGCATTATTATGACGTTTTCATAAACGAACAGTGCTGAAATGTGCAGCTCACACTATATATTTCATATATAATATATACGGTTAACCCTCTAGGCGCCACGGTCGAGTTTACTCGACAAGATGCGGCACTGAATAAAACGGCCGATTTTGTCAAATTGGGTGTCAAATTTCGTTCGACCTCCCCTCCACTGGATGGCAGACATGTCATACTTCATCCCCGAATCAAAAAAACGTCATGTTTCTATACAAAATGTTCAAGTTAGAGCGCATTGAATCAGTGCGATCAAAAGCAGAGCTAGTGTGCGAGTGAGCCATTTTATCAGATCCTCTCCGCAATCGCGGCGACAGTATTGTGTTGGAGACTTTGTCTAATGCCACTGGGGTATGTTAGACGAGGTCGAAGTATTCATAGGACAGTTAGGAGACAACGTGGAGGCAGGGTGGGGAATCGCAATGACAATCAGGGTTCTAAATTAACTTTTTTGATCACCAGCCAATGTGGCTGGTAACTTTCTAAAGTTACCAGCCATTTAGAATTTCCACTAGGCAAATTTTTCCCGGTGAAAATAAGAGAAATTATGAGTGCCACTGAATGCATTAGATCATTTTATTAACATTGGCATGAAAAACACATATAAAGTAGCCTACAATACAACACAGAAAGTGCAAACATTTCATTTCAAGTTTGGGATCTATCTATCTATTAGGGATGTGCACGAATATTCGAATTTTCGATCTGTAATTATTATTCAAAAAATAAAATACTATTCGAATGGTTTTTCGCAGTTATAATTAAATGCACTGGGTGGAGCGTTTGGATTGTATTTGATCACATAATGTCGTTGTCTGCCTCGCGAAGTTTGGAATTACTTAGATGAAAATGATAGCCTATTACAAAATGGAATTACGTTTAATCAATTATTAATTAAACTGAGTTATCATAATATCACCACCACAATTAGAAATCACATGAAATCCAAAGAAACACCAGTCGACTGAGGAGGAAGCAGCTGTCCATCACTGCATTAACGACTGCAGGTCAGCAGCTGTACCCCGAGGGAATCGTGATCCGAGATGATATCTTTTGGTAGCAAAATGATTTTGAGACATATGCTTCCTTTAAGTTTCGTTGAGGGAGACAGGTTTAAGAACAGAAAAACGCATGCTGTTACTTCACTTTGCACACACACACGTGTCTCTGCAACGTCTGTGTCAGCGCAGAGTGTTTTCTCACTCGAGCATGTGGATATTATTGGTTTGCTCAACATGAACGTGAAACAATATAAACACGTTAATCATATGCTGACTCGAGTATGTATGTTCTGTACGATAACTGCGCAGTCTGCTTTTCTTTTTTTCTTTTTTTTTGTTGCGTTTTTTCCCCGTTTGCGCTGCCTGAGCTTAAATGCTTTTGTTGTTCATATTTTTTTGTTTACACATATTGTTTAATGTTTTCAACTAAAAGAAAACCTTAAGATATATAGTAAGCTTGTTGTGTATATTGCCTAATGTATACGCTTGTTCAGAAATAATGACAAAAACCTTAAACTTAAAAAAATAACGTATCTCTCGTTAAACGACATTTAAATTTAAACCCAGAAGTCTGTCCCAACCACCGCCGCATTTAGTTTAATCTTAACTTTTTACTTTACTAGCTCCCTCCTCTTTCAGTCTGCTCCCTGCTCTGGCTCGTTCTTCATCTTCCTTGTTTTTTCTGGTGGACGGACGCGTACGCTCCGTTCGTTTCCAATTTCCATGATCATTTCTTGCGCTGATTTCACTGCAAACTGCGCGCAGCCAATGGGCGTATGAAACGTCATCACGTAGCATTACGGCACAGTGTTCATGGGAAATGTAGGAAGTACTGCCAGAGGGATAAATGACCGGGAACAGAGCCTTATGCATCACCGGCCAAACTGGCTAGTAAGTTTTTATTTACCCCCCGCCAAAATGAATTTTAACCCGCATTTGGCGGGTGTTAATTTAGAACCCTGATGACAATGACAGTAGTCCGAGCTGTGCACACTCGGCGCGCGCGAGAGGCAGATCTGGCCGCGCTGCTCGTATCATGTCACTCATGATCTGTGCGAGTGAGCGTTTGAACTAAACAGGTCTTGTCTACTTGTGTTTGTATGTCATATGAATAATATATATGTGCCCCATACATGGAATCAGAGTGCCTACTGTATTTAGTAAATGGAAAATCTCTACAGCAAAAGGCCAACCACTACATGCATTCAGTTTGTTTCTACCATTTATTAGTAATGATTTACACAGTTTGTTTACTATTTATTATATACCTGAGCATTCAGTATTGTGCAATTTAGCATACAGAAGGTGATGGACATTTTTTGGGGGTAAGAAGTGCTGCATTTTATCATTTAAACATGTGACTTTTCATGAAAATTCTATAATCCAAGATTGCCGCCACCATATGACGTCATAATATGCAAATTAGATGGGAAAATGTAATCCCTACATAAACTTTGGGTCATCCTTAATATTTCTCTAATTTACAGAAAGTCTCTATCTTTTATCACTTTTAAGATATAGCCTTTTGAAATTAAGATGTCAAAATCGAACGTTTTAGGAAAAAACCTCTGGCGCCTAAAGGGTTAAAACGTTTGGTCAGACTGAAGTGATCAGGGACCTTGTTAAAATCCAGATGCTTGTTACTAACATCTAAACAGATGTGCAGAGCTGTAGGTGCTACACATTTCCATATCACAAGATGATCTTGATCTCATGATAGGACCCTTTAAATCTTAAAATAGTACTGCATAATATTCTATTTGCTGCTATGCGCATGTACCTGCTCCTTCATCTCACACAGCAAGTCCACCATGGCCATTCTTCCTTCAGCATCAGTGTTTCCAATTCGGATTCTGCGACCAGCGCGAGTCACCACCAGCTCGTCCGCCACATAACAATCTGTCAAAGAGTAAAAAAAAAAAAAACACACTTAGTAACAGGCATCCAAACTGGTCAACACGTGCAGAAAAAGTTGCTTACCAGACCCGACACTGTTCCGCACCATTGCCATCGCACCCACAACCTTCAGGTGTTTGGGCTTCAGTTTGGCTATGATCTAAAACAACAAAAATGATATTAGTCTCCAATATTCTTCTGACCATCAGGAACACGAACAGGTGTGTGTGGGACCCGTACCTGGAAGAATCCAGCAACAGCCGCAGATCCGCATTTATCTCTGTGCATTCCAGCCATGACTCCACCGGCCTTGATGTCAGCTCCACCGGTGTCATACGTAACGCCCTGAAACAACATACAGCGCTCGTATGGACTAGAAAATGCTCTGTCCTGGGTGTTCAGATACAATGAACCGAAATATTACCTTGCCAACCACCATGAGAGTCTGTTGAATGGGTCCTTCTCCACAGTACAGCAGCTTGATCACCCTGGCCTGATGTCGCGGCACAGCTGAAGAAGAAACAGCAGCCTTTCAGCCTTTTAACTTCATGACACATTACAGAACTCAATCACTAATGAGATCCAGAGATGTCCAGGGTCTTTGTCTGGGTCATGGTCTCATACCTCTTCCTACTTCCACTGTACTAGGTGAAAATGGCCTCAACAATAACCACATGCTTACTTTTATTGACAATGTAAAAATATATTTAAGTGTCTTTTATATTATACATTTCATATATAATATATACTGTTAAAACATTTGGGGTCGGTAAGAGTTTTATATTTATGGTATTTTCAGGCCTTTAACAACAAAGTCTGATCCATTTTTCCCTAAGTGGAGTTCATTCAAAGAAATCGTTTGTCACATTCATGTATATTTTACCATGTTTTGGTCTTTTTTTAAACCAGACACTTGAAATTGTTACCCAAGAGTCATAATAACTCAAGTAGTATAGGAACAGAGTTATGAATATAAACCATAGGGTTTAAATGTTTTTGAAAGAATTCCATTATGCTCACCAAGGCTGCATTTATTTGAACAAAAACTACAGCAACGGTAATATTGTGAAATATGATTATAATTTAAAGCAACTTTTCTATTTGAATATATTTTAAAATGTAATTTATTCCTGTATGACAAAGCTGAATTTTCAGCACCATTACTCCAGTCTTCACTGTCACTTGATCCTTCAGAAATCATTCTTATGATGATTTGCTGCTCAAAAAACATTATCATCAATGTCAAAAACAGTTGTGTTGCTTAATATTATTGTGGAAACTGATTTTTTTTTTTTCAGGATTCTTAAATGAATAGAAAGTTTAAAAAGAACAGCATTTACTTGAAATAGAATTGTGTTGCGACATTATAAATGACTCTATTGTCACTTTTGATCAATTTATTGGATCCTTGCTGAATAAATTATTCATTTCTTTCCAAAAAAATAAAAATAAATGAAAATAATAAATTATATATTTTTTCTGTTGGAAAAAAATGAACAAATTCAGTGTTTGAAATAAAATGTTATTATGAATAATTTATTAATAATTAAATCCTGCATTTTCTCTATTTTATTTATCAGACTTGGTTCTCGGTATGGATCAGTACCTTGAGGGATCTAGTTTAGGCTATAACTGATCCGAAACAAGCTGTGTTTAGTATAAGAGTAACATTTCTCTGCAATTCCATATTATATTAAATGGATAGAATATCCATATATTCCATATTAAAGCGTGCTCTTACTGTTAGCACAGCGGTTGACTGCAGCCAAACAGGGGTACTCCTTCTCCAGAGTATTCAAATCACTCACTACAGTCACCTAAGAAACACATGGAGATGAATGAAGCATGCCAATTCTTACTGACACGAGATACAGCTTCAAACTCTATTGAACGGTCACTCAAAGACTCACCGTTACAGGACTATCCTTGAAGACTGCTTGAACATACTCAGATACACGCGGGGCAGCCATTCGCTCCGGGTCAGAGCCGCCGATATCACGACAGACAAACCTGCATCACACACAAATGATCTTTTTTACTGCTTATTGTACAAACGTCAAAATGATGCTCCTGAGAACACAGTGAAGGACACACACACATACCTGCCGCTCTCCAGAGCAGTGGCCATCTCAGTAATGGCGTCTCCCTGAGTCTGGTTCTTCACCCAGATGCCCAGAATCGACACCTTATGCCCGGGGGACGGCTTGGACTCCCTCACCTCTAGAGGCTGACCACACACACAGATATTAACTAGGTTACGCTGACACTGACAAGCATTAAGGTCTAAAACTAGAGAGGTAGAAATAATAAGGCATTAGTTCTATAAGACCCAGTGTTCGTTTAGTTTTTCTTGTATAGTATTTATTCATATTTTGAATTAGGTTTTCTTTTTAGATGTTCAGTTTTTATTTAAATTTAAATTGAAGTTTTAGTAATTGTATTCGTTTTACACATTTCTTTTTGGCTTTGATTTATTTTAATTCCAGTTTTAGTAACTGAAATTAAACATTTTATTTCAGTTAGTTGCTGAGGCAACATCTCTAAGTCTCGTTTGAGTTTTACCGTTAATTTCTTCATCTAACATTTATATTTTATTTTATTTCAGCTTAAAGTGCCCACATTATGCTTTTCAGGTATAACCTTTCATTTAGGGTGTTATACAAGCTGTTTATTAATGTAAAAGGTCTGAAAAGTTTCAAAGGTCAAAGTGCACGGTAAATTGAGTTATTGAACCAATTCTGAACTGCCTGAACAGTAATTCCAGTCTTACTTTCAACTCGAACCTACGTAGGTTTGTATAAAATTTGCATAATGTCACCTATGGTCTTCATTGGCCCTCGCAAACAACGTCTGCTTTGACCCTCAAACACTGTAGTTGTAACTGAGGCCTGGAAGAGTTTGGTTCCGTTCGTGTTGTCGACATGTCGAGAAGATGCGGTTTTCTGCGCTGCGAAAGCAAATTCACTTTCGGCAATGCAAATTTACTAATTTGATTAGCAGACGGCAGGACTTTTGCTAATGTAAATATTTGGACAAAAATAGCAAATTCACTTTGCATGCACTTTTACCGGTTAGAATCCGAAGTGCAGATCTGTGAACACTCTAACGGGTAATATTGCCCAAAACCCATCGCGCGTTGGACGAGGATTCGATTAGAACTACAAACTAAAAAAAAGGGTTTAAAAAACTATAGACATGGAGGATGTGCGAGTCTGGCGGTTATGTAGAGATTAAGATAAAGGGATCTGAGTGATTAATTATCAGTATCTAACCTGACAAAAATGTATTTATCCAATGTTGCCCACATTATAGACTCTTTGGGAAGTGAGGTCAAATGCAATGTATATTATGAGAAAATAAAAGTGTTTTTGACCTCGGATGCATGTAAACCTATTGTAGGTCAAATTTAGGAACCTTTAAAATAGCATAATAGGAAGTCTATGTATATTTTGGGGTAAACTGAATTTTTAATATGTGATGTGATGATTTAAAGCTGCAGTCTGGCGTTTTTCCTCTTTGTTGCCATCTCTGTTAGAAATCTGCAATTGCAGTCATTCGCGGAATTATCAACTTTACGTGAGTTGTACTTCAACACCCTCGACACGGCACAGCGCGGATGAACACAATGTTTGAGGAGACTGTGAGGCTGTCAGTCACCCCGCCGGTGTGGATCCTGTCATTCAGAATCACAGATTATTATTTTTGGAAGTGTGACCAACATAAGAATTTTCACCGGAAAATGTCATCTGAACAAGTAAGAAACATCCACTTTTGTTCTGGTTCTGACCTTGCAGTAAATCGCGCTGATTAAATCTAACAATCGCTTATAAGTTATCATATCACGTAAAACCGTGCAAATTATACTTTGTTCTCAAAGTTAACAACGTCAGCATTGCGTGACTACATGTAATGTCCTTCCGATATATATCCTTGTTTTCGCATGGGCCGGTTGCAGTCTCTTGTTTTCTGTAGCCACTCCGAAGTCCGAACGAAGTCTTTTGCATTTTACAGCGGGTGAGTCTCTAGTTGGCACTGGTGATTGTCGTTTGAACCTTTCTGGATCCGCCATCAAATTGATAAGTTTAATTATATCAAGTGCTGTGAGAAAAGGCTATAAATCTCCACCTCCAGCATCCTCACACGCAATATAGCCTACTAGCCGAGACTCTTCTTTATGTGTACAGATGTGACGTAATGACTCAATATAGCCTACTAGCCGAGACTCTTCTTTATGTGGACAGATGTGACGTAATGACTCAATATAGCCTACTAGCCGAGACTCTTCTTTATGTGGACAGATGTGACGTAATGACTCAATATAGCCTACTAGCCGAGACTCTTCTTTATGTGGACAGATGTGACGTAATGACTCAATATAGCCTACTAGCTGAGACTCTTCTTTATGTGGACAGATGTGACGTAATGACTCAATATAGCCTACTAGCCGAGACTCTTCTTTATGTGGACAGATGTGACGTAATGACTCAATATAGCCTACTAGCTGAGACTCTTCTTTATGTGGACAGATGTGACGTAATGACTCAATATAGCCTACTAGCCGAGACTCCTCCTTTATGTGTACAGATGTGACGTAATGACTCAATATAGCCTACTAGCCGAGACTCTTCTTTATGTGTACAGATGTGACGTAATGACTCAATATAGCCTACTAGCCGAGACTCTTCTTTATGTGGACAGATGTGACGTAATGACTCAATATAGCCTACTAGCCGAGACTCTTCTTTATGTGTACAGATGTGACGTAATGACTCAATATAGCCTACTAGCCGAGACTCTTCTTTATGTGGACAGATGTGACGTAATGACTCAATATAGCCTACTAGCCGAGACTCTTCTTTATGTGGACAGATGTGACGTAATGACTCAATATAGCCTACTAGCCGAGACTCTTCTTTATGTGGACAGATGTGACGTAATGACTCAATATAGCCTACTAGCCGAGACTCTTCTTTATGTGTACAGATGTGACGTAATGACTCAATATAGCCTACTAGCCGAGACTCTTCTTTATGTGTACAGATGTGACGTAATGACTCAATATAGCCTACTAGCCGAGACTCCTTTATGTGTACAGATGTGACGTAATGACGCAAAGACATGCTCGAATTTCCCGTGGAAATCCACCAGTACCACTGGAATTAAAAACATTATTACAAGCTTACCGCTTTGAATCGAGCTAAGGCAAGCAGATAGTTTTGAACACTGGCTGGTTATGTATTTTCTCAAAAATATATTTTGGATAATTTTTAACCCCAAAAAAGCTACGGGCTGCAGCTTTAATGAAATAAGTAAATATTAAAAATGTAAAATTCAAACAAAAACAACACTTCTCACCATGTAGAGAATTTGCAGGGCTCCTAGCACGGCCGCCAGGGTGTTTTTTGCATAGCTGTCGTGTGGGGGACAAACCAGCAGAGGGCGCTGCATGCCGGTTTTCAAAGCCCTATATGATCAAAAATCATTCAGATCAATGAAACAAAACCTTTAGTAAAAGTCTTCTTAGAAGACAGAAATATGTCCTAGAAGGATAACAGGCCAAGGACATGAACATTAAAAAGACACAATGTTGTTTTCAGAGGATGTAAGATGATCGTCACGCATCATGTTTGCATAGGCACCTCTTAATGCCATTAGCAGCAGCATCGTTGAACCGCCTGACATCATCATAGTCCCGATTCACTGGACCGGTGCAGGCAAACACCAATCTGTTACCAGGGAGACCAGGAGCCTTGACAACCACGACCTCTTCCCCAAAGCAACAGTCCACCTGGATGAGAAGAGTGACAGAAGTGAGCAATAAAACATAAAGAGAAAACTCAGTGCTGGTTAGATGTGTGGTGTCGAACTCACTGCACTGTAGTCCTGCAATGGTGCTTTCAAACACTCCAGCTCAGCAGGCAGCTGCTCATAACTTTGGGTTATTAAGATAATGCCATCAAAACTGTAAAAGAGAAGAACAATCCAAATCAACCGTCAAAATATAGCAAATACAGTAGAAATGTTGCTTTAGTACAAAAGTACAAAAAATTACTAAAACTGAAATAATATAAATTAAAGCGGTACACAGTACACAACAAAATAAAAAAACCTTAATTCAAAATATTAATAACCTCTATAATCGTATATAAATAAGCTGCTTCTGCTGGCATCATTTTTGTTTGTTAAATGTATTAAAAATAACAAAATTTGTTGACTAGGAATAAATGATTTGTCAAAAAACAAGATTCTTGAAACACAAGCCTCATTATATTACATCATTTTGCTTTTCATGTATATCTCTACAGGTATGTGGTTAAGGATGTTCAAGTAATTTTACTGGAAAATAAAGACACAAAAACAGAATAATTTTTTGTAGCTCAGTTCACAAAGAGTCACACTCGACACAATTAACTATACTCTCACACATCAGGGATAAGAGAGCGGTCTAAAGTCTAAAGTCTGTGTGTTGTAGATTGTAAAGCAGACAGGTCAGGTAACAGCAGTGAAGATTCATTCATAGAAAGTCACGGTTCCTGTGATGGTGATGTAATACTGCTAAGTAGTCTATCACCCTTCTGAATTAAAAAGAAAAAAGTCAAATGGGACAGGGACACCATACTGCACGTCTGTGAGCCCACAAGATTGCAAAAGCACATTCGGCTTGAGACAGGATTTACTCACTTCGGGTCCTTGCAGTCAGAGGTCCACTGGATAGGCTGAACACTGCATGGAAGGAAAAACAGAAAAGAGATTAAAACCATTACACATGTGCGGAGAAATTTGCTTTAATGAATGTTTAGTGAATCTTGCTTAGTTATTATGCTTATGGTCATGAGAGGCTCTTCAAGAATGAAAAAAATTAGTTGATGTTTAGCTTGACTCATTTCAGCTGCGCTCATGATTTCTGATAATGTTTGATTGACGTTTGATTGACATTTGAATGTATTTTGGCATCCATGTACAGTAGGGTCCAAAGAACTGAGACTATGACAAAGGACTGCAGTGAATATGAATATAATTTTTTTTTTTCTTTTTAAAAACTTGTTTTTAAACTAATGGCAATATATGCACATTTACAAAATTTGATTAGCATCCTAGAAATTGCAGGACTTTCGCTTCTGCAAAAATTTTGCATTTAAATGACAAAAATCAAAATCAAAAGTCAAAATTTATTTTTAACGGTATCATGGCAGCAATGAGGAACTGTTTTTGCTGAAACTGTTATTTAATTATCAGTTTCAGCAAAAACAGTTCCTCATTGCTGCCATGATACCGTTAAAAATAAATATTGACATTTGAGAAGTATTTGATTTTGTCAAGTCAGCAGGGAGGAATTGTTTTTGCTGAAACTGTTATTTAATTATCCTTCATAAACTTGGCACTCTGGATGGGGACTGCGACGGGGTGATAGTGAGTGTATGGAAGACTTAGAAAAGTGTTTTTTTTTTTTTTTTTAAATGCACAAAAACAACAAAGTTACAATTTAGCAAACTTGAGTTTATAATGGTGTCATACTGCTTTCTATACAGTGGTAAGAAATCATATAAAATCACAAAATAATTAATTAATAAAAAGGTAAAATACTTCCCAAATAGTATTTTATTCAGATTTATAATATTTATTTATTTTCCACAGTATAAATGGGTCTTTGTCGATAAAAATCCGCCATTTTACCCCCTGTCTGCCCTGGAACAAAGCGCAAAAACCCAACCAAAGGTCATTTGCATTATTCTGCCAAAAATAAATCTCCACAGAAAAATATTTTAACACGTCTATTTTAGCACTGACTATGTAACGAACCAACATCTAACGTTTTAGGACGTAGCCTACTTAAAATAATTGAACTTGAAAAAAATATATAATGATCATACCAAACACAGTAAGTTATACCCCAGAAAACAATAGTAAGGATGGAAACTTATTTTAAACATTAACAATTATTAAAAAATCCTCTTACCTTACAGACATCTTCACACTTCCTCCTCACGCCTTGAGAAATGAAGTCGTGATGTCAGCTGAGCTGATGAAGTCTAATCACATGACCAATTGAGTCACGTGATGTATAAAAAAATGTAGTTTTTCCGAACTTTGTGATGAAATAAAATGCACAGAAATTGTGGAATTAATGCATTTATTTATTTCAACTGTGCGATTTTAATACGCATAATGTTTTAACCCACAAGTGTATTTTAATATGACGAATTCCTTAATTTACATCCTTCTCAACAAATACTCCTCAAACTACAAAATACAAACCGGAAATTACCAGTGATGACAAGTCCAATTCATTTCTGCGAATCGGTTCTTTTGAACAAATCAAACCTGTTAAAAAAACAATTCCATAATTCTTTTATCATCCTGTCGTGGCTGGCACGCTCTATCTAGCCACTAAACATGACTGTTTATTACGTTTTTATATTAAGTTTTATTAACAAAGAAGAATGTTTATTGCACTTCTATGTATCCCAGTTCAGTTTGTTGAAGCCATAAAGTCTTTAGAATTTTTTTTTAACGTACAGTACATTTATAGTAAAATTTGTTTAAATCACCCATCTTTAAAACTATAATGATTTCTTTCGTATGTCTTTTAAATGAATAGTCGTGAACAATCCTCACAGTGAAATCCACAGGTCATGAATCATTCTGTCAAATTTATGAACCGGTTCAATAGATACAATGAAAAGATCCGACTCAGAAGACGATTCTTTGACGAATCCGGACATCACTAGAAGTCACATGACATCGACGAGAGAGTGAGTGAGCGTGAGCTGTACTTGTATCAAAGTACAAAGATTGTGTTTTAGTCAAATCACATTGAGATGGTACAGTGAATAACACATTAAACCTGAGACAGGTCATTTTGTAATCGTTTTTCAACGTGCACGATCAAACTATTTTTTTTCTTTGCACCAAGATCAGGTAGGATATCACACAGCACTGCAAGAAACTGAAAGCAGGGGAAAACGACCTCTTATTTACACTGCCTTGTATGCTATCTTATTTCTAGCGATAAATAGGTTGTCTTAAGCAATACGTAATCTGACTCTTGCTGACTATTGGAACATAATCGAAAAACCTGCTAACGCTTGGGTTGGGCTGCTTTGATGTCTTTATCTTAAATAATTTTGCCTTCTGGTGCACCTGGGAAACTTATACCTCCGAGTCGGGCATTCAAGTCAGAAACATTTAAGAACCTTAAAAACAAACAAAAATAATTATATTGTAAACAATAAACGAAGAAGTAGATTCGTTAAAGTTGCTCCAAATTTAAATTTGACCCCATAAAGCAGTTTATATTTATATATATCTGACTCCACTTGAAGGGCACATAACTTATCCTGTCATCCTGCATCTATTTCCATGTTTGTCCACTTCTCTCTTTCACTGCTGTATGTCCTTTCTTCTGTCCGTCTCTTTTCCTCTGTTTCAATAGATGAGAATTCTGGGTATCTCTCAGCTCAGTTTGAGGAGACTCAATGCTGTATTTTCTGCAGGCACCATCAGAGACACCTCAAGCTCAGCCGCTATGAGACTCGTCCAGTTCTGCCACAGAGGCGGCGAGGGGAGCGTCAGAGTCGGGGTGGAGCAGGCAGAAGGTCAGGGGGTCATTGATCTGAAAGCTTTCGACCCCTCCATGCCTTCCACTATGAGAGAGTTTCTAGAAATGGGGCAAAAGGGAATGGACTGTGCTAAGAGGTATAAACTACAGAAACTCAACATTTACAGTCACCTGCCACATAATAGAATGGTCATTTTGTCCGGATCTATTGATTTATTTAAAAATAACATAAAAAATGCAATTTATACATACAATGACACCTATTCTATGATTTTTAATATCTGAATTTACGTATTTTGGGGGGCATAAAAAACACTGGAAATAATATCATAGAGAGGACTCCTTAAAGGGATAGTTCATCCAAAAATGAAATTTAACCCAAAATTTACTCACCCTGAAGTCATCCTAGGTGTATATGACATTCTTCTTTCAGACGAATACAATCAGAGTTATATTAAAAAAATGTCCTGGCTCTTCCAAGCTTTATAATGGGAGTGATTGGCTGTATGTCTTTGGAAGTCCATCAAAGTGCATCTATTCATGATTAAAGTGCTCCACATGGCTCAGGGGGTTAATAAAGGCCTTCTGAAGTGAAGCGATGCATTCGTGTAAGAAAAATATCCATATTTAAAACTTTATAGACTAAAATAACTAGCTTCCGGGCCGGCAGACGGCCGTACACATCGACTTACGCCAAAAGAGTAATACTTGAACTTGACGCACAACGTAATGATGGCAGTTGAAGCCTCACGCGGTTCAAACACACAGGGCTGGGAAACCGCGTTCGTCATTACGTTGTGCGTCATTATTGGGAGAATTAATGACACCCCTGGGTAAATATGATCAAAAATGGCTGTAAAAAATAAATCTGCATTGTTTATCCTTTTTCATTGTTTATCCTTCTTTCATTCAAAAAATTTTCAAAAATCTAACCTTTCATTGAAGTAAAATAATTGAAAGTGGCGGGGAAATCACATTATGAAATAAATGTTTTTCTCCAAAACACGTTGGCTACAATTGGCAGCCCTAGAATTTTTTACGAGTAAAATATCTCTGAAGTATATTCCCATTAATATTTACCTTTTTTTTATCACACCAGGGTGACTAGGGACATTAAATTGTCCAGCCATGACTTCTTGTTTCACAGGAGTTTAAATATGAGGAAACAAAAAGGCCAAATTCCCTTAATCATCCATCACAATGAGTAAAACCAAAGAATATAGTTCTGATGTGCAGCAAAAGATTGTTGAGCATCACAAAATAGAAAGTGGCTGTAAGAAAATAGCTAAAGAGTTGAAAATCCCCATTTTGACCATCAGGACAATAATTAAGAAGTTCCAATCAATCAATTCTGACCACAACTGTGTATATATATACACGCACCTAAAGGATTATTAGTAGGGATGGACCGAATCCAGATTTGTGGGGTTCGGCCGAATACCGAATCCACTGGTTAAGATTCTGCCGAATCCGAAACCGAAGACCGAATCCTACTCTCATCCTCAGTCCATTAACACAGTAAACACATTAATGAAGTAAACAAAGTGGATTTTTCATTTTATTTTATTACTGTAAATAATAAACACTACTTTACTTTTATAACTGTAAAAAAAGAAAAAAGAATAAGCAACATTATGCATTTTAACAGCGGCGATGTTGTGTAGCCTATTGTTTAGAGTCCTTGCCACCATGAGACAAATCGGCATTGCAAATTGAACATGTAGCTCGACTTGAATTGCCTTCTTTTCACTGAAAGTACTGCCAAACAACACTTTTTCTGCTCACGAGTTCCATTTTCACTTTCTCACAGCCAACTGCATTCGAACGGTCCACCTACTGTAACGAGTGGAAATAAGGTGTGGCCCCTTTAAGAACTGCGCGCTCCCTGTTGAACTGTTTGCAGTCCGTATTGTATGTGCCGTGCGCCTCGAACACATGCCCATGTATGCGGGTTATTTCTGTTTGATGCTCATTTTTACCTTATTTTGTTAAGTAACGCTGTGGTCGGTAGAACTTGTGACAGACAGTTACACAAGTTCGATTGTGTAATAAAGTGCGAGTTGTGAGATGCCAATCGCCTCTGTGAGACTGTCTGGCCTCTGCAATAACTTTAGCTGTGAGCTATCCCTATTTTTCTTCCTGACACAACGCGTTACACTACAGGCTTGTTCGACTTGAACCGGCGCTGCACAGACAGATCAGTTTATGACATCAAAGTACCGCGAGAGCAATTCAAAAGCATGGAGCCGTCTGCTCTCTATTCGTTCACGCGGTACTTTGATGTCATTCACTGATTGGTGACTTCGACGTAGCGCGCGTTTTAGTACAGTGAACTCATTGTCATGTTCAAGAAACCAATTTGAAATGATTCGAGCTTTGTGACATGGTGCATTATCCTGCTGGAAGTAGCCATCAGAGGATGGGTACATGGTGGCCATAAAGGGATGGACATGGTCAGAAACAATGCTCAGGTAGGCCGTGGCATTTAAACGATGCCCAATTGGCACTAAGGGGCCTAAAGTGTGCCAAGAAAACATCCCACACACCATTACACCACCACCACCAGCCTGCACAGTGGTAACAAGGCATGATGGATCCATGTTCTCATTCTGTTTACGCCAAATTCTGACTCTACCATCTGAATGTCTCAACAGAAATCGAGACTCATCAGACCAGGCAACATTTTTCCAGTCTTCAACTGTCCAATTTTGGTGAGCTCTTGAAATTGAAGCCTGTTTTTCCTATTTGTAGTGGAGATGAGTGGTACCCGGTGGGGTCTTCTGCTGTTATAGCCCATCCGCCTCAAGGTTGTGCGTGTTGTGGCTTCACAAATGCTTTGCTGCACACCTCGGTTGTAACGAGTGGTTATTTCAGTCAAAGTTGGTCTTCTATCAGCTTGAATCAGTCGGCCCATTCTCCTCTGACCTCTAGCATCAACAAGGCATTTTCGCCCACAGGACTGCCCCATACTGGATGTTTTTCCCTTTTCACACCATTCTTTGTAAACCCTAGAAATGGTTGTGCGTGAAAATCCCAGTAACTGAGCAGATTGTGAAATACTCGGACCGGCCTGTCTGGCACTAACAACCATGCCACGCTCAAAATTGCTTAAATCACCTTTCTTTCCCATTCTGACATTCAGTTTGGAGTTCAGGAGATTGTCTTGACCAGGACCACACCCCTAAATGCATTGAAGCAACTGCCATGTGGTTGGTTGATTAGATAATTGCATTAATGAGAAATTGAACAGGTGTTCCTAATAATCCTTTAGGTGAGTGACTGTATATGGAGCATGTTATGTTATGGAAGACATCTTTATATTACCGGGTCTCTCTCAGGGCTTTGTCCAGCGGTCAGCATGCGGTGTCACGGTCAGATATCAGGCTTCTCTCCCCCGTGACCGGCCCAGAGAAGGTGGTGTGTGTTGGAATGAATTATAAGGACCACTGCCTAGAGCAAAACGCCCCGATTCCTAAAGAGCCCATCATATTCAGCAAGTTTCCCTCCACCATCACTGGCCCTTATGATGACATCATTCTACCAGAGGAGAGTCAGGTGAGCTCAGGATTATAATACAATTTCAAACAAACACTTGGTGTCACTTTAACCCAACAATTACACTCTATACTAAAGAATTACTACTCTATAAGACTGACTCTCGTAATGTCAGCACATACAGTTTTTTTGTTTGCCGTATACAACTTGTGAGTATTGAAGATTTTGTACATGTAGAAAAATACTAGTGTTTTTACTCCGGTGTGCGAGAATGAAATCCATAGTTTCACATTGTGGCGGCTCATTCACAGGAAGTGGACTGGGAGGTGGAACTTGCCTTTGTGATTGGACGAAAAGGGAAGCATATCAAGGTAGTAAAAGAGTCATTTAAATCTCCATGTGTTGACGCATCTTAAAATGAAAATGTTCTGTTAATTGATTGATCAGATTTACTATATTAAACATAACAGGTAATCTCAGCAGCTCTAGTGGGACACAATCTCATTTAATTTTTGACAAATGCTGAATGTGAAGTCAGAATATGCAATATAACACAAATAACCCTATAAAATCGACTATATCATAATTGATATACACATTTCTAAGGCCTCTAATTTTCAACAAAAAAAACTTTGCTGATTAATAGTTTATTTTTAGCAAGTCAAAGGCTTTTTAGGATCATTCTAAAGGGTTGTGGGACATGTGTCTTTTAGCTGTTAAAAGCTGGAAAACAGAATTTTATTAAATAAATGTAATAATGTTTTGATATTGTTAGTAATATTTCAAGATGAACACTTCCTGGACTGAAGTAACTTTTTACTTGATTAATCCAAGCATCATTTTTTATTTGTACATCTCTCAATCATCATTGTTTTGTTTTGCATTGCATTACATGATAAAAAAAAGAAAGAACATTCATGTTTTTCCCCTACAATAAAAACTACAGAGCTTTGATCATACAACTAAGCATTTTAATATAATTTAATAAAACACTATTGGGAGATATAGAGTGACAACTAATATGTAGTCTGCAATACAGTTATAAGGATTTCCTTGATTTACATTACAAGCGCTCAGTATTTCATCCTAGTTTTTGGCAATATAAATAACATTTGTTTCAAATTGCACATTTTTGCTCAGTTTGGTCCTCTGTATAAAATTCAGAGCTCCATATTCTCCTATATCATAGCCTGATCAAAAAAGAAACAAAACACATATCCAAACGTTTTTTTATTAATTTTTTGTTTTTATTTTTTTAACTAATTATTATTAACTGTATGCGAGGCTAACATGATTAAGTATAACTCAGCCTCCTAGCAGAAGGACAATCTTATGCCATTCCTGTTGGAATTTCAACAACCTAACTGATGTGAAATAAATGTGTCTGTCTCAGGAAGAGGAGGCTCTTTCCTATGTTGCAGGTTTCACTGTAGCGAATGATGTGAGTGCCCGTGATTGGCAGATGAAGCGCAATGGAAAGCAGTGGCTGCTGGGAAAAACATTTGACACGTTTTGTCCACTCGGGCCAGCACTAGTTACCACTGAAGCACTGAAAGGTACTTGAATATATGAAAATATGAAAACAGTAGGACATACATTACATTTGGGAGTTAAAACTAGTGATGGTGATATTATTTCTGGTCTTAAATCAAGTTAATCTTACTCAAACAGATGTTCATAACCTGGGTATCCGTTGCCTGGTGAACGGAGCCGCAGTTCAGGACAGTAACACCAGTCAGTTGATCTTTCACACCGAGAAGCTGGTGGCTTGGGTCTCACAGTAAGAAAACTCACTCTGGTTTTAAATGTTTAATATACTATTTATTATAAAAGTAATCATGCTCTCCAAGGTTGCATTTATTTGATCAAAAATACAGTAAAAATATGGTGTAAAATGATCATTTAAAATAACTCTTTTCTATTTTAATATATTTTAAGATGTCATTTATTGCTGTGATGGTGAAGTAGTCATTACTCCAGTCTTCAGTGTCACATGATCCTTCAGAAATCATTCTCTTATATGATGATCTGGTGCTCAAGAAACATTTAATAAATGCTGCAGAAGTGCAGATCATTAGTTTATGTTAACTAAAGAAACATTGTAAAGAGTAACCATAATTTATTGTGTATAATAATGCTTTATGGGGTATTATGGGGTATCTACATTTGATCTTTTTGTTGCTGAGCAGTTATTTAAATGTATTTTATGAATACAAGTGCATAATCAGTAATACATGTATTCAATTATATAATATTCAATTATTAATTTTAGCCATAAAAAAGACAAAATTCTATAGGTTGCAACATTTGAGAGTTGTTATAAATTTGCTTCTCAACTTGTAATTGTTTTGTTTTTTCCCCTGTAGGTTTGTGACTCTTTGTCCTGGCGATGTGTTTTTGACGGGAACGCCTCCAGGTGTGGGGGTGTTCAGAAATCCACCCGTGTTTCTAAAGGTGAGGAAAATCAATGTATATTTCAACATTGCTGGGTTAGCGTCACAACTCACAATCACTGCACCTGGCAGAGGCTGTTAACACCCGTTTAGAGCCTTTCCTGAAACCTTTGTTTTGCTGCACAGATAAAGCCTAAATTCAAAAACCATGATTCCCTTCTGTTCTAACGGTCAGAACAGTGTGACTGACGCTGACACAATGAGAACAGTTGAAACCAAACCACACGAGACCAGCCGTAATAGCCTCATTGACATTGCCGTAATGCCAGTTTTCACACAAAACCCAAGTTTAAAAACGAAAGAGGCACTGGCTTCAGTGTTTAGGCTTTCTAATGGCCATTGATTGGACTGACACGGGAACACTGGAATCGCAGGGCCGAAAAAAACTAAAAAAATATTTTATAGGTGTAGACAATTCAATGAAATATAATGAAATTAAAATAAGAAAACACTATCAGCTGAAATCAGCTGCATTTTTTTAAAATCTCAATATGTAACATCACAAGAAAATGGCAGCAGTAACGCAGACTGATTTGTTTAAAAAAAGAAAGAAAATAAAAGGTAACACTTTACAATAAAGGTTTCTTTTGTTAACATTTTGCTAATTTGTTAACTCTTTCATTAGCAAATTTCGAGAATTTCTATCAAATAGTCAACTAAGATTTTATATAGTTGTTACTGGGATGTAAGTAGTTGAATTGTAGATTGTATTATTAAAGGTGTAACTACTATTTAGCTTTTGGCCTCTAACAGGTCAGAAATAAATTGCATGCGTTTTGTGGAAGAATATTGTTTTGGTTGTGCTTCGGCTCTGCGTGGATGAATGTGGTTCAAGGTACACACGTATACTGGGTATCAATATATACATATATTTTTTTTTTGTTCACAAACAGTGATTCCCTGGATGTTTGCTATTTTAAATTACCCCATTTTTTCATTTCTCGTGACAACAAACTTTAAGCTTCACGCTACTGACAACCAGAGCGGCCGGTGTAATTTTCAATTTTCCCCAAAATCCGTCCTGACAGCTCTAAAATAAAAATGATTATTATAGGTTTATCAGCGAATATTTGGGTAGAGACGTGGTTTGAAAGATGGATTTTATTTGAACCCTCTCATTACTTTTTAATAAAAAAAGTTACATAGTGTAGCTTTAATAATAACAGTAATCGCAGCAACACATCAAACCATCAGAACAGCAGATGCTGCAACTCTTCTTTTGGAAATCAACCTGAATAAAAAAAAAAAGTCTTAATCTTTCATCCATACAAACACTGTTTATTGAGCGTGCAGCATGCCGTGCCCAGGAGAATACGCCACACATCATTTACACCAAATGAGCTGCTTGAGAAAATAACTAACATTAATCCTGTGTGATTAGAAATCCAATTTACACAACAGAAGTGTTAGTTCCTTTAGAAAACTTTTGCATGTATCTGGTACACTGGGGTTTACAAGCCCCTCTGGGTAACAGCACATCATTAGATTGTCTGTTAACAGAAACTGTACTCTCTCAAAACTTATTATATATTTGAATGTATAACATGTATATTAAATCTGTGTCCCAGAGGATGTAGTTTGTTTATTTTTCTGTAAATAAAAAAAACAGCCAATTTCCTATGAATTAAGTCCTTAAGTGTATAAAATGTATAATCTGTTTCCTAAGGCAGGAGATATTATTTTAACATTTTTTTCTGTGTATCATTATATTGTATTTATTGAAGGTCGGTACATTGTAATGAAGTAACTTTTATGATCTGTTTCAGAGAGGAGATGTTGTGGAGTGTCAGATTGATGAGATTGGATCGATACGGAACACAGTCGTGTAACGGGAAGATCTGCAACATAGATGCAAGTGCCAATACGGAATCTAATTATTTCATATTGTCATCGTAAAACAATGGATTTTTTTTTTCTTTTAGCTGAAGTAAATCAAATAAACATTATGCTCTGGGCCACTTCTTAAATAAAAACGTTTTTAGAATGCAGCATTTTATTCGAATCATCGCCGAATCTGTATTTTTCATAAAGAAGTGAATTCCATGTGAATGTCACACTGGGGTTTTTTCGTGAACAGGATACAGAACAGATCATTTCCAGCAGAGGGCATTACTGACCCGTGTAGGTTGGCATTCTTGTCCATCTATTCTCAGCTTGAGATAGATAGGCTTGGTTCCCAGAAACAATTTTGTTTGTGTGTGTGTGTGTGCATCACAATTATACTGTGATTCAAACTAAGGTGACTTTTAAATATGCAGGATTCTTATTGAAACCCTTTAAAATGAATAAAAACCATAAAAAGGCTTTAGTGATTTTTTGTTGTTGTTGCTATTGTGCTAGTAATGATCAGCTTTCTCTTTATGATTGATAAACACTAGTGATGATTCTTGAACGAATCATTCTTTTAAGCTGGAAACCAGTCGAGCCGGTTCACAGAATCGAACTATGGTTCTGGTTTGATGACGCAAGATGCACATCTGAAGTAGCCGGCGCGCTCTTTATGCAGCACTGAATGAACCAATGAACATGTCCAGATGGGTTATTGAACCAAAGGACCGGTTCGAAATGAACGAATCAAAAAGAACCAAATGAGCTGGTTCTGTCAGTTTTCCTAGGGTTAGTCTCTGAAAACTTTGACAGTAGAACCAGCTCATTTGTTTGTTTGTTTTTAAATTTGAACATGATGACTGAAAAGCTGACTTTCAACTCTGCCTGTAGGTTTGATTCATTCATTTCAACGCAGTTCTGTGGTTCAATAACCCATCTGGATATTGGCTCATTAGGTGCCGTTCACTCCTTTTACTCATGAATGGGAGAAACTGCAATGCGGGATACTTTATTCTAAATAAAAAAGCTAATCGCTGATTGGTTAAGTCATTGCGTAACTTCAGCTTCATTCAAGTTTCATTCTGACTTTAAAACATTTGAATAAATGTAGGAAGAAAAGTGGGATCAGTGTTAATCCTGTGAATCCCGGAGAGCAGTGGCCAGCTGTTATTTCTCAACCCATCTTATTTCTTGTTAATTACCCAATTCTTTTGCCGTCTCCAGCTTTCCCGCTCATGTGTTATTGATAGCCGGGTGTCCGCGGGTCGATTGTCTGGATGTCTCTAGAGAGCTTGTTCAGCATTTCTGCACTACGAGCAGCAGCCGTCCGTTAAGTCTTTTTGTTTCAGACGAATGTGTTCAGGGCCACTCACTCGTGTGTTGCTCAGTATTAAGATACACAAGAATGATGTTCCTGGGTTAATGCACATTTAGAATGGTTCTCGTGTTGCATGGACGGGTGTTTATATTATATATGAGATTGTCAAGTGATTGGTATATATAGAGCCAGTCATTTCCAGTGAGTGATAGTGCAGCGAGCCCTCGGCACTGCCTGTGCCTCTGTAGCATAGCATCCATCATGCTTATTACCCGTCATTTAGTGAAAACCTGAAACTCGAGACCAATACAATCACTGATTCTTGAGACAAGGGACTTATTTAGGATTAATCTGTTCAGAAGTATTCATTTACATTTTGAAGTATTACATTCTCTAAATGTCAAATGTCTATAATATCTATAAATCTAGCATTTAACTCTAGTTATGAATTTAGACTACAGGATGGTTTCAAAAGATTGTAGCTGTCTTTTGAATACAGAAAATAGACAGAAAATCTTGCAGTGGTGATAAAATGACAACGTTCTCTTTAATCTGACATAATAATGAAAGCAGAGGCAAATTATCTAAAAATCTTTTGAGTTTGTTTTGATGGCTGGTTTGACTCGACTCATTTCCTTTCACCAATTACCGAAAATTTCACTAGAGCCTGTGATGTTGAACACAGCAGGTTGGGTAATAAGGAAAGGATGTGATTTTGGTATTGTTTTTTTTAAATAATTTATAAAAACATCTTATAAACATGACTGAAAACTTGAACACCTCCCTCTCAGAACATGGTATATTTCTGTAATTTCATGTTCATCATCATATCATATACACTCACCTAAAGGATTATTAGGAACACCTGTTCAATTTCTCATTAATGCAATTATCTAATCAACCAATCACATGGCAGTTGCTTCAATGCATTTAGGGGTGTGGTCCTGGTCAAGACAATTTCCTGAACTCCAAACTGAATGTCAGAATGGGAAAGAAAGGTGATTTAAGCAATTTTGAGCTTGGCATGGTTGTTGGTGCCAGACGGGCCGGTCTGAGTATTTCACAATCTGCTCAGTTACTGGGATTTTCACGCACAACCATTTCTAGGGTCTACAAAGAATGGTGTGAAAAGGGAAAAACATCCAGTATGGGGCAGTCCTGTGGGCGAAAATGCCTTGTTGATGCTAGAGGTCAGAGGAGAATGGGCCGACTGATTCAAGCTGATAGAAGAGTAACTTTGACTGAAATAACCACTCGTTACAACCGAGGTGTGCAGCAAATCATTTGTGAAGCCACAACACGCACAACCTTGAGGCGGATGGGCTACAACAGCAGAAGACCCCACCGGGTACCACTCATCTCCACTACAAATAGGAAAAAGAGGCTACAATTTGCAGGAGCTCACCAAAATTGGACAGTTGAAGACTGGAAAAATGTTGCCTGGTCAGATGAGTCTCGATTTCTGTTGAGACATTCAGATGGTAGAGTCAGAATTTGGCATAAACAGAATGAGAAGATGGATCCATCATGCCTTGTTACCACTGTGCAGGCTGGTGGTGGTGGTGTAATGGTGTGGGGGATGTTTTCTTGGCACACTTTAGGCCCCTTAGTGCCAATTGGGCATCGTTTAAATGGCACGGCCTACCTGAGCATTGTTTCTGACCATGTCCATCCCTTTATGGCCACCATGTACCCATCCTCTGATGGCTACTTCCAGCAGGATAATGCACCATGTCACAAAGCTCGAATCATTTCAAATTGGTTTCTTGAACATGACAATGAGTTCACTGTACTAAAATGGCCCCCACAGTCACCAGATCTCAACCCAATAGAGCATCTTTGGGATGTGGTGGAACGGGAGCTTCGTGCCCTGGATGTGCATCCCACAAATCTCCATCAACTGCAAGATGCTATCCTATCAATATGGGCCAACATTTCTAAAGAATGCTTTCAGCACCTTGTTGAATCAATGCCACGTAGAATTAAGGCAGTTCTGAAGGCGAAAGGGGGTCAAACACAGTATTAGTATGGTGTCCCTAATAATCCTTCAGGTGAGTGTATATAACATCATATATAAGATGTAGATGTGTTGGTCTGGGTTTTTTTTTTTTTTTTTTTTAAACCTTTATATATTAGTGTACAAGAATCAATCTATATTTTTTTACATAAGAATTTTTTTAAGATGGTTTTAAGTGTTTTTAGTGTATTGTTGTTTTATTTATAGATATTTAAAGAATTATCATTTTGATTTGCAGTAAATAAGATGTATATTCTAATGATAATCTCACATTCATTTTAAAGCAAAAATGTTGTCATTTTCACATGACAGGTTAGAATGACAGAACAGAAACATGGCAGAAACATGGGACATGTTTTGGTCCCATGTTTCAAGATTCAGTGGAATAGTTCTTAATGGTATTCAGTGTTTGTGCTAAAGGAAGCAGAATATGCATGGGAAGGAAATGTATGAGATAATTCATCCTGATGTTTTAGGTAATGTCATAAAGATAATGCAGAATGTTTGTGCATATGAACATTCATGCAGTATATAGTGCTGTGTGGAGAAACTATAAATCAAACCATGACAGAAACACTACAAACTGGATCAATTGTTAGAAACTTGTGTACTGAACAGAGCCCTGTATATATATTCATTACAAGAAAACACAAGACTCATAAACAAAACAATTCAATGAAAAAAAAAAAAAAACATCTTGCAATTTATCTGCTCTTTATAAACACAGAACAATATTTAACCATCTGAATGGTGATTATCTAACCAATAACTAAACCAAATCTGGGCAACAATGAACACAAAAAGCAACCTCAGCATCACATATACTACAGAAAGCAAGTGTGTTAGGCAATATGTATGTATAAACACACACAAAAAACAAAACATGCATAATTAATTATTCAAACAACCCTGAAGAACTGAATAGTAAATTCAGAAGCGCCAACTGTTATCATTCCCAGCTGAGACTGACTTCTCAGAGTCTTTTACTTTTCTCTTATAGTAATGAACTGTTTGAAAAACTGCAAGAGTTTCTCTTTGTAAGTGCACTGAGAGAAGAGAGGACTGACGTCTAGATACACATCTTCTCTCTGTCTGTCCTCAGTCAACACCTGAAGTGCAGGAACAGAGAAACGGTGTTTAGTCAGGAGAGGCCAAATTAACTGTCCTTTATTACAACACCTGCTACAGTTTGTTACACTTCACTGTTCTCAGTTTATCTGGCCTTGGGCTTTTATTTACAGCTACTGTAGTTGTGTGGGGGTATATACAGTAAATCAGGATGTATAGAATCACTTACCCCAAGATCAATGAACGTACGGACCGCCATTCCCACCAAGTCAATAGATGAGCTCTCTACAGAAGATTCACACAAACACATTCAAATATACAGCGCTGGAGCATCAAATGACACGAAGACTTCGGTCTTGAAGCATTATTTAATAATGCTGGAACACAATTTGATCTGCAGAAACTCTCTTATAAAACATCAAGGCTCTAGTCTTCAGCAGAGTTAGATTGCCCAGTTACACAGAGCAGTGATTCACAAGTCTGTTAAAGACAGCGGGATTAATAATACATTAAAGAAGCTGAAGTGAAGCTGTCAGCATCTATGTAGGCTGGAACGGTTAAAGCCACTTCATTTATTCTCTTTCGATGATCCTGAAGAGGAGAGATGCTTAAATCTGCTTTGACAACAGAAATGCTATCTAACGCTAGTTATGTTTACATGCACTGATTTTCGTCAATTGGCATTAATCTTATCCGATTCTTAGATTCTGTTGTTAATATGAACCCTAAACTTTGTGATCCAAATCGCGATAGTGTCACCGGAGCTACCGTGAGTATAACT